GTACTCCCGTTTAAAAGCAACAAATGCACCAATTGAACGGCGGTTTGTTTTATTTGAAAGACCAATTATTTTTCTGCAAAATAACATTAAAACGGGTTTAAAACGTCTTATGCCTGGATTTTTGGGAGCGTGAAATCGGGTAGTCAAAAAGGTCACGGCTCGATGATGCGGTTTAGACACTTTAGCCAAGAAAACCTATCTTCAGGTCAATAGATAAAATATAGAGCACAAAAAGTTAGGTATCTGGTCAAATATTCAGAGAAATTGAGTCAGCCACTTTCTCCGTAGAGGTTTTTATAGATTTTTACAAAAAACATGTCTTCACTCTCGAATTTGCTTGAAAGTGAACCGAAATTCACTTAAAAAGATGGGAAATTGAACAATAAACAATTTTAATAGGTTAGTCGTTTTGTTTTAGTTTGAAGCTCGGAATAAGTAGAAAGTTAAGTAATTGTTGATTTTTGGATCGAATTTTCATAACACTTCCCGATAGGTTAGTTGGTGAATTTGTTATTTTTCAGTATGAAAAGAAACGAAAAGGCTTATTCGCTAACCTAATATAATAGCATGCTATAAAGTGACTAGAGAAGTGATTTTTTTCTACATTAGTTGATAAACTTAGCAATTCTCCAAGCCAACCTACTTTTGATTGATAGCTGTATAGTTTTTCTTGTGAATGTTTTCTAGAAAAAATATTTGCATTTGAATAGAGATTGAGACTCAAGTGGGGAGAATGGAGGGTAAAGGCCCCAAGGAAGATAAATTGAAGACCAAGTAATGGCTTTGTGCAAAGAAGGGAAAAGATTTGGGCTCAGTACTGGGTTAGTCGTAAATGGAAAAGGCTTAAGCTTGGTGGAAGAGTTGATTTGCTAAAAAACTAACTTTATAAAGTCTAGGTATCAGATTACAAAATGATGCTAAGCAAAAAAAGTGGTTATCGTCTAAAGCAGCACATTGTCAAGCAAACGACTTTCTTGAAAAACTAATTAGCAAGCTAAAACTAGTACACGGCTTAGTAAGAACTAATTCGAAAAAACTACTAGTGACTTTACTAGAACTAAAAACGACTACGAGAACTAATTAGAAAATAAGTCGACTCGGAAAAGAAAGAAATGGGAAGGAGCGAAGAATAGAGGGTGAATGGGGAATTTGAGATGAAATGTGATGGCATTCTCTGTTAGTGGCGGTGTCAAGTGAAGTGATAATGGTCGCTGTGAATTACCTTGGGAAACACTCCACAAAATAGGTGAGGCGCGGAATGTGGAAATTGATCAATGTTAATTTTAAAAAGATAAATAAGAGTAATATCAAAAATTTGTGTTGAATAAATTGTTTTCGACTTCTTGGTCCAAAAATCTCTCGACTCTTTCGATCGCATTCCGTGGATCGGAGCAATTACATGAAATGGGTCTTTTCACAGAGATTGAAAGGAGAGACAACTTAGATCTCTCTTTTCGACTAAAAGCCTCAAACCTAGCCAACTACTGGTTGTTTGGTAAAGAGAAAATTTTATGGAGTACCCTTGCTCTGAAAAAGGAATAAGCTTTTTTACAGCTTAAAAAGCAGCTGTAAAGCTATTCGTAAATAACTCGGGGTTTTTTTCTATTTGTGAATGATGAAGTTGTATAAGATAGAAAAGTTGGTAATAGAAATTGTTTATTTCCTGGTCAGGAACGTAAAGACTAATATGTAAGAAAGGTCAAGGAATGGACAGGAAGTTCTCTTATCACAAGGTTATCTCTCATGCTCGTTTCTACCAAAAAGAACGAAAACAGGTCATTCAAAACCAAAACAAATTTTGACTTCATATTATAAATGTAATCTTGCTTACAAACTTACAATTAGAGCAGACTGGCAGACAAAATAGCAGACTGGCAGACTGCAAACTAATATGTAGTATCAAAGCTATCTTTTCCAAACGAGAAACATGTTAAATAGGAAGAGTCAATCAAGTAAGAATTAAGTGTGAACTCGAGAACTTTCTAGTAGAAAAGAGATGGTGAAATTGTGGATCGAGCTGTGGAATAAATCATCGGGTGAAATGGTGCCCGTGAATGGGTGAATGAGAAAAGAGAATAGAAAAGAGAGGAGAGAGGGACGGCTTGGATGGGAGAAAATAGAAGGGAAAGGAAGTGTGTGTCTCGAGAAAGAGAAAAGAAGAGATCGATACTCGAGTAGGGCACTTAGGAATAGGGGAACGTCTTGAAGGAAAGAGAAAGGATGAAGAGAGATGGTCAGTAGGAGAGACATGACCATAGAATGGACTTACGTGGACAATAGGATTGGATCGGATGTGAAAGGAAACAATGGGCGATCAAGATTGGAAAGACTATGTCAGGAGAGATTCCAAGGATGGTAGGTCTCGAGTTCTTTCGAATGCTCTTCTAACAATAAATATAATATTTTTGGGAACTGAAAAAGCCTTTTTAGGACCCATTTATTCCGATTAGTTTACCTATTTGCAATTTAGTTTTAGTGCCGGGTCTAGATTGTTTTTTGTTAAATCATAAAGCTCAATATTAGTTAAATGTCAAACTCGAGGCTACACATGAAAGTAGAGTAGAGCTTTGAAATCATCTAATCAATAATGAGCTAGGCCATGATAGAAAACAATTACTAATAAGGTCAATGAACTAAATGAAAGAAGAAAGAAGAGATGCGAGAAGTGAAGGAACAGCAGATGTCGATTGAAAGATCCAAGAAAGGAAGGGAGAGGAAAGGAGAGGAAAGGAGAGGAAAGGAGACAGGATCCAGAGAGTGTCGTTTGTATTCGATGAGATGGGGATGTTGGGTCGCTCTTCTCATTCTTTTTAATGAAGAAAGAAGGACGGAAGGGGCAAGAAGAGCAAGATTGAGTAGTAATGGATATCAACCATCTGGCTGTATCTTCGTTCTCCTTCTTATGGGCCACCCCTTCCCCCCTCGTTTCTCTCTTTTCTTTCCATTGATTCTATTATTGGGCAAATGAAGTAATTATCAACACTTTCAACTTATTTTAGAAAAGAGAACTTAAACCAAGGTCCAAAACAAAAAAAAAATCAAACTTCTTAGTTTTACAAGTCAGGTTGGGATTGGTGAAAAATAGTACAAGACCCCTCAAGTAAAAGCATAAAGTGACATCTGGCGAGCAATGTCCTGTCACACACTCAATAAACTCTTTCCATAAACATGGCAAATCGGCGGCAAAGATATGACCTCTGAATTGACTTCAAAGACTTGCAAAGGTTATAAATCTTTTTGGTAGCAAAGCTTGATTCTATTCAACAAATCAGCAGATCACCCAGTAACTGAAGCTTTGAAAAAAGCTTGCAAATCTATTTTGCAACAAGAAACATGCTTTGAAAAATTTACAACCACTTCTTTTTGATTCTCGTAACTGGACAACTCATTTGGTGGTGTCAAATTTCTGTGTCTGACTCTTCTTCCCTTTTCCGCTACTTGTCACTTCCCAAATGATAGAGAATACAAAACATGACATTCAAGTAGATCGACATTCACAAATAGACCCCATAACTGGCTGTCCATCCATTGTTTACCGAGACACACCCAATTATCGTTTGGGATGCCTCGTCCCTTCCACTATTTGGTCATCAAAGGACTAAATAGACATCACAAGGAAACATTAAGGAAACAAGGCAATAAATTAAATGTTTTTGATAATCTTTAAAATTGTCACGACTCAATAGACTTGATAACCCAGACAATCAATTTGAGATTTGATTGACTATAAAAAGTTTTCACTTTGTAATTTGTAACTTTTCTTTGCTAAATTTTTCAGTAAGTGAAATGACTTCACTCAATTGGCCATAAAGCAGAATTTCGAATTAGATGGGTTGGATGGATGAGTACATTCTAGGGATGCTTCCTTTCCTAATGAATGCAGAGGAAATAAACACTATTTACAAGGGAATGCCCCAACTCGGCCTGGCGTTTCTGGATCAGTATTTACTTGATGCAAGATGCAAATGCCAGTCGAATACGAGGAATTCAACGGTGTATTTAGTTTCCCCCCAAATGCCCTGGTTCTTGAGTAAAACGCTCTTAAAGTTTGGACGTTTATTCGAAAAATAACACCTCGGGTTTAAAAGGGGTCTTGAGCTTAGCCTGAAACGTCAGACCGAGTTAGGAACATTTCCTTGTTAAGGTCACAACGAAGAAGGGATCAAGCTAAAGAAGCACATAGAAAGAAAGGGGTTTAAAGATATGGAAAATTAAGGGCAGTAAGCTTAAAAGGTACAGTGCACTTTAGAAGCTTACTTCTAAACATTTAGCATAAGAGTCTTGTATTTTATTATTCTTAAAATTTATAACACCCATTTAAAGTAAAGAGCATCTTGGGAAAAGAAGTCAATTTGAATCCGGCAAAATAAGAAGGCCACCGTCAGCCCACAATCCATCCTCAATCTCTTCTTACTCTCCTTTTTCTCGAAAACCTTATAATCGATCAGGCGTGAAATGCGTTTTCCTTATGTGCACATTCTCCGGAAATTTGTGTACCAACCAAGACTTGTGTAGAACTTACCAAAAATAGCTAAAGTTAGCAGTAGTGGAATATTTTTTGAGAAAATTTCAAACTTTCACTGATGAAAGAGGTTTGAAGTAAGTCTTCAATAAGTTATCGGATTGATCAAAGAAAATCAGAATAAAATGAAGTGGGGAATCAGATTTCTCTTCCCATATCTGTCCATTGACCGTATTATCGGCTTAACGCTAAAGGGCAAATCGAGAATGGATGGTTGACCAAACATGGAGAAATGAAAAGAAAAGAGGAGAACAGGTGAAGGAAAAGAAGACTCTCGATCAAAAGGTTCCATCTACACAAACACTGCATTCGCTTTTACTCAAAGCTGTTGATCTGAACAAACTTGAATTGGGTAAAAAGGCTGTAGTGAGAGGGTTTTGTGATTAGTGATATATAAGCTTTGTTTAGATTAGAATCTTTATTCTATGAACTTTTATGGAAAAGAGCTAATTTACATTCGAAAACTGAACGACATTTATTTTCCCTGGGCAGCGGCAGCTTTTCGTGCCTCATCAGCTCGTCGCGAAGCCTAAACGGAGATTTGTTTATTTATCAACTGGTCATCAAGAATATTATTACTATAATTAAATGCTTGTATTTATCAAACTTGAACTTAATTTTTTAATCAAATGTTACCTGTTGCTCGATGAATCGCTTCTCTTCAGCTTTAACTTGAGCGATCAAGTCTTGAACGGTTTTTCCTTCAAGTTCAGCCTTCACAGATGATTCAACCTGAAATTAGATTTTAGACAAAGGTACAAATCTTTGGTTTATGAAGTCAATATGCCGGCAATAAAAAGTAGCAAATGCAAACCTTGGCAGATGCAAGTTTCACATCAAGTTTTCCGACATCGGCGGTGTTTCCGAACTGATATTTAGTTGCGACACGGTCCAACTCTTGTTGAAGAGCTTTCTTCACCTAAAACAGAAAAAGATGGTATACAATGGTGGAAAGCAATGGTGGAAAGCCATGGTGGAAAGCCATGGTGGAAAGCCATGGTGGAAAGCCATGGTGGAAAGCCATGGGATGGTGGAAAGCCATACCATGGTGGAAAGCCCTTTTGAAAAGTATTGAGCCCCACAGACTTTTTTTTACTTTTCGCTTCAAAAAATTTCTATCGCAAATTTTTTGAATCCGTTTTAAATTTCTAGAAACTAGAAGAACTAAGCTTCGTAATGTTATTAAACTTTTGAATTGAAAAGTTTATTTAACGAGAAAAAAATACTTACATAATGCAAAAGCCGGCGGGAAAAACTATTGAGCCCCTGTCGAAAAAAGAAGAATTCAACATTTGATTTTGTTGGGCCATCGGGCTTTAATGATCGCCTCCCATCGTTTCGGCATGCTTGCAACTAAGTTCTCGAGTGTCGACACTGGGTTTGACTTCCAAATTTCTTGTACTTTATCCCAAAGCTCATCTTTTGAGGTAAATTTATATCCTCGTTTTACATGGGCCCAAAAATGTTCAATCGGATTGCAATCAGGAGAATATATCGGTAGCTGCAGAACAAAAACACATTGATGCAAAACGAAAACACATTGGTGCAAAAGGAAAGACGCCCAAAACGGTACCCAGAAACCTTTACTTTCCAGTTCATCATCGAATCACTTTGGAAGCTTTGGGTCGCTATTCTCCTGGAATAGCCGCCCAGGCCCCATATTTGTATGAAAATAAGTAGACATTTAATCCTTTAATATTGCAGCATATCTAGACCTATCCGTGAATATTTCGAACCGAGCGAGAGGCTTGAATGGATTCGTGGCAGTTTCGGCCAACGTTTCCCAATCCAATGTTTTTGGCGTAGATAAGCTCTTTGTGATTAAACAAAGTACCAAAATACAAAATAAAAAACCTACTAAAAAAATTTGCCCATTAGGTTTAGAACGGATTCAAAAAACTTTCGTTAGAGATTTTTTTGAAGCGAAAAGTAAAAACAGTCTGCGGGGCTCAATACTTTTTTTCCACCACTGTATGATCATTAGTATTTGAAGTTTTAACGTTGATAAACCTCGAGAGTTTAACAGCGCAAACTGAATTATCTGCAAACTCACAGCAGGGTCGGAGTTGGCAAGATCACCTCCTTTTTGGCCGAATTCCTTGATCTTGTTGACGAAAGCTTGCTGAACCAGATCAGGCTTCCTAAAATGGCTTCCACTTGTAAAATACAATCATAAATATTCTTTAGGCTATACACGCTAAAAAGAAAATTTTCCTTTTGCAATCATTTAAAAGCTCTTCATTTTTTATTAATGCTTACCTGCAAATGGGAGTGGTGCTGAATGTTCGAACCGCTCGGTACATTTTACCCGAATCTAAAATTTGACGGATAAATAAGCAAGAACAAACTATGGGTAAAACTTTAGCTAAAATAAATTTATGCCTTAGCGTATACGAACTACAACAAGAACGGGGAATGGGTGAAAGAAAAGAGCAAAGTGAGAGAAGCGCCAAGAAAAGACGATTGCACAAAGAAAGTTTGTGGAGGCTCGGGGAATTTGAGTGAAGAGGATGTCTATGACAAAAAAGAAACTTTAGGATAAGAAAGTTTTAAAAGTATCACTGTCATACTGTATGACAATTAAAGTCAAGTAAAAGGATAACAGAAATTTGAATGATTACAGGAAATAGGCAACCAAAATTTGTAATCCTGCTTTGAAGTTTCACACAATAGAGAAAACAGTGAGATCAACCTTTTTTCAACTTTCAATATTAGGCTGACTAGGTGGTTAGGCTCTTTTCATGGTTCCACTGCAGCATCTTCAAAATATCCCGAGGTTAAATAAATGGCACCCAATTCCAACTTTCCAAGTTAACCTTAATGATTACTGGTGGATCAACTTTCGACTCTCAATCATAAGTAAAACCTTATCGTAAAGAAAGAGAAATTCTGTGTTTTGGTTTGTTTAATTTCATTCAAAGGATTTCATCTTTACAGAGATGCGCATAAAAACTTGTTGCTGAAAATGAATTGAAAATTGTTTATCAAAGGTCATTTTTACAGAGATGAAAGATGTAGAGTAAAGATGTAAACCTTTGATAACAATTTCAACTCGCAGTTTTAGCGCCCTCTGAAAGATAAAACCCTTGAAGCCATAAACATGTCGGAAAATGAGTTGAAAATTGTTTATCAAAGGTTTTCATCTCTACAGAGATGTGCATAAAAACTTATTGCTGTGAATGAGTAGAGGAATGGCTTTATATAGTCAACTTTCCAAAGAGCTTGCACATTATTACTGGCACAAGTCTTCACAGGCAATTTTTTTGTAAAAATGAACCTTTATTTGTTAACTCTTGTAACTTTATCAACCGGGTTTGTATACAAAAAGTTTTGATTGAACCAATTTTCTGTTTAGTTTGCAAGCCGATTATGATTATCGAGGGAGGGATTATGTTGAAAAAAAAGCTGAGAAATTGGTGTTTGGACTGTGGATGGTGGGAATTGTCTTATAAGTTGAATGGGATATTTTGTACTTTTTTTCTAAGGTCTCACCAGTAAACACCGTCTAGATCACCGACTATGACACAATTTATCGTGTGATCGATGATGCTTTGGCAGCTGGATATAGAACTTTTGATACTGCTCAAGCTTACAGTGAGAAATGCGAAGTAATGAAACATGGAAATCCGAACCTTTAGACAACGAAGAAATCACCGGTCGAGCCTTCAACGCTCTTCTCCCAAAGCATGGGTTGAAAAGGTTTTACCAATAACTTAACTATCGTAAGCAATTTCTTTTGCAGGGAAGATATCTTTTTATCTTCAAAAGTGCACAATATTCACCAAGGGCCAAAAGCAGAACCATCAATCATCGAGTGAGTTCTTATTAAGTCGAAGAACCAAAGCTGTACACTACTTTGCACTCTTAAGAGCCGTATGATAATTAACACATTTTCAGATCTTTGGAGAAGCTCAATTTTTCCTATCTTGATCTTATGTTGATTCATTGGCCTGGAGCGATGCCCGTTGATTGGTCTAATCCCCTTCACAATATGACAAACAGAAGGGGAACATGGAAGGCTCTAGAGAAATATTACAGTACTAGATCAGCTTTTATTCGAAAATATTTTAATCTTCAGATCTTGGAAAACTTCGATCAATTGGTGTGTCAAATTGGATGAGACATCATTTGGAAGACTTGCTCAGCTATGCCACGGTCTTACCATTAATCGATAACCCTAGAGGTTTTTTAGGTCTCTCCAGCTGTTAATCAATGTGAATATCATTTTCACTATCAGGTGAACTCCTTGGTGGACTATTGCCAGGAGAAAGGAATCATTTTTCAGGTAGACTTATAATTAGGCTGCAGAAGTAATCGTATTTTAGGCTTACGCCTGCAATTTACATTTGACTCCCGAAAAAGCGATCGCCAACTATCGACAACCGAAAATTGAGGCCATTGCCAAAAAATACGATATTACACCAAAGCTTCTCCAATTTGTTTTTCCTCTAAATCGAGGGATGAGGTATGAAAGTTGTTTGATCTAATAATAGATATGTTTGATCTAATAATAGATCTGTTTGATCTAATGAGCGTATCATTGAACTGTTAATTTTTAGTGTTCTCACAAGAGCCACAACAAAAGAGCATATTCTTGAAAACCGAAAGGCGAATCAAATTGTAAGACTAACCATAAGATATTTAAAGGAAAACTCAAAGAATCTTATAGAAAATGAATCCCGAAGACATCGAAGCTTTAATGCTAAAGGGAACAATTGGACACAAGAATTGTGGAGATCCGAAATTTGTCACTGACTCGGCAACGATCAAAGAAATTGTGGATTAGGTTCAACTGAAGAAAGTTTGATGATTGAAATAGATAACACTAAAACGTTACACTGGAGATGCATGACTAAAAACATTTATCTTTCACAAAACCATCATTATGAGCCATTCGTGGTTTCTAACAGTTTTACACACTCATAAAGCTCGGCTTGCAGTTGAGAAAATGTGAAGACAAGGTCTAAAATTTTGCATATTTTAGCAGGAATAACTAACGATTTAATAGTTTCTAGGATTAAAACAAGTCTTGAAATTGACTAACCAGCATCAGCCACATGCAATCCATTACAGACAAATGCAAACGCTAGTTGGTGATGACAGTCAATTTTCACATTTTGGCCTCCATGTCCCGAATGGCCAAAGATCCATTCACCCTGAAACTGACAATAAGTCAACAAACACTATTTTATACAAACCCATGGATTTCGTGTCCATTGCCATCCAAATCCTTTATTTTCTTCATACTGATTGATGGTGTCCATTTCATTGACAAGGACTGGGCCCATCACAATATCATAAAACTGAAAAAAAATAAGTGAAAACTTTGGATCAACATCGGTACACCTTGTGGTTCAACAACTTTCTTGTGGCCACCAATGAGTGCACTTCAGCCAATCCCTTCGCTGATCCAATTCCCATATTTGATGGCATTTGAAGGCATTGATTCTCTTTGAGATTATACTAGAATCTTTCTGATTTTCATTAAGAAAAAAAATAAAAATACATCGTCAATTTTTATAAAGGACCATTGTTTGTAAAGTCTTTTGTTATAGTCATTGTAGGACAAGAAGTACCTGAAATCATCACTCTTCATTCACAAAGTATCTATCTTCTTTTCAGGTTTAAATTTCAAACAACCTTTTATGCGCCAACGGGTTCTTAATCTCAGCCTTTTTCAAATCATCTTCATTAGGATTATAGACTGTGGCCACTGTTGGATGAGGCAACTCATCTTTAGATAGCCCAATAGAAATATCTTTTATATCTAAAAAACTTTTATTTTTGAAAGATTAATAATATTTTGAAAATAATAGTCTATTTATATACCGTATTGCCCTATAATATCTGCATGAAAGATCTCAGCAATTCCTCTTCTTTGCGGATCAATTCTTCGAGAAATTTGATCCAAAAGAAAGCCATAGGTCAGAGCATGATAACCAGTCTGAATATGCCGTGTGTGCTATTGTAAAAATAAGTGTTACATGTGTCCCGGGTTTCCATATTGGAATCGCTTCCTCGAAGTATCGACTCATTCTTTCTGGATTCATCATATCATTTTGAGCCAAAGGGCCAGAGTCGGTGAATGGGATTCCAGCCTACTTCGGTAGTAAGTAAGATTTTCGAAAGGAATCACAATTGTCATTACAAGTGACATTACAATTGTCTTAATTTACTCACTTGATGATGTAAAACCTGTAGAATAGTTGTTTCCTCTTTTCCATGTCGCCCGTATTCAGGCCAAAAGTCGGAAACTTTTCGATTCACCGAAACGTTTGCTCTATCCAGTACATAATGAAGGACAATAGTAGAAACACTCTAAATTTCAAACAAAAGCACAATTGAAACACAGACTTTCCAACGAACCTTTGTGCAAGAGAAGAGAACCGTCCTTGTGTGTTCATCCCATTTCTTATCCTTTTCTTCATTTATCCACCCTCCCCATAGGTGTACAACTAACTGGCCTTTATAATAGGCAGCAAATGAACAACCGAGTCTCTCATGTCCTTCTCGCAACAGACTGCTAAAAAACACTTTGTTAAACAGTAGGGTATCTTGTAGAGAGCTTTGAATTTTGTTCTGTTTTCTTACCTGAATTTATCGGCAACTTTCTGGAACTCGAGTTTTATATGCCCGGCACAAGGAAAGAAATGAGACAAGGATCCAGCTTGCTGACTGAAATTGAACAATTGTTTGTGAACAATTGAACAATTGTTTGTGCAAACGTTTCAATCTTTGCTTAAAAACCCCAAGTCGCTTAACTTTAACTGGTTGAATAAAAGATAACTCATCACCTAGAGGCGTCGAGATCCTCGAATGCAACATAAACAGAATCTTGATTTAATCCCATCGCTTACTTGATTATTCAACCATACTAGAAGAAGTAAATATTAGGTTGTCCTAGTTTTCTCTTTCCGAATTGATGTCTTCCGAGTGAGGTCGTTAATCAACGAGAATTGCCCTCCTTTTGGTCATCACTGCTTACTATTGGAGTTGGTATCTTAGAATATTCCGAAGAAAAGACCAATCCATCAAACTGAAGCTAAAGAAAACCTATTTTTTACTTTGTGCCTCTGAATACATTTGATCATTAAACCTTTTAAAATGTCAATCTTATTCACAAATCAATTATAACTATAATACATTAGGAAAACGCACAATGTAAGACCAAATTAAAAAAGATTAAAATATTTCACAACATTCACAGGACCTAGGCAACCGACGAACACAAAAGAAAAAAAGAAAATGCGGAAATCCGTGCCTGGACCTTGGAAAAGAACTGGAAAACTGCTGAGGCATGAAAAGAAAAAAAGGAAAAATGATGTGAACAAGTTATTTGAAAGGAGAAAAAGAAAAACTCCCTCTCTAATCCAATAGAATCTCGGTTTTCAGTAAAAAGGGAATTATAATCATTTTTGACTTTTAATACTTTAAACTGGTTGAGTTTTGAGTAAGCTTTTAAAATTATCAACTACCAGCTTACAATTGAATTTGTAATTTGAAAAGCAAGCCTAAAGTTTTACTCAAAAATGTGGGAATGCGTGTTTGAAGCCAAAAAAGTACCTTGGTTGGGTAAAATCGACTTTAAACTAAAAGGTTTTTGTATAAAACTGAGAATTCATAAAGAGAAAGAAAAGAGACTCCCAAGCGAGATATCGATATCATGCTCTCCTTTTTCTCAATTCCCTTCGTTGGAAATGCATTTCCCAAAAGACCCACGCTCAGCCCAAAAAACATAAAAGATTTTCCTAGAAAAGCTTTTGGAAGCGAGTACAAGTTTTGTGTGGTTGATGGATTGGTTTGAGGTTTGTGCGTTCTTTCTTGCTATTATATTATTGTGAAAGTTAGCATCTAATAATCTAATAGTGGACATCTAAATGCCCACTCATTCAATCAAAATAACTTTTTGACCAAAAGATTACGCGTCGTCTATGACCCTTTTTCTTGCAATATGATTATTTTTCGTTCGGAGGGTTTTCCATACTAATATCTCGTCGTTGTTTCGATTTTCACGCTGACAATGGGAAACTGATTATGATAGTTTGTATTTTTACAAACGATAGGCTACAGAGTGAACCATTTTAGGGTGCCTAGGTCATTCTGTCTAAAGATCTTTGACCCAGCCCTAATTAATTGATTCCAACCACTACAATTCACTCTGCCTACGGCGTTCCCCAATCGAAACTTTGATCATAACTATACATATCCTTTCTCTTTCCTAATGCCATTCAATCCAAGCAACCCTCAATTCCCTTTTCCTAAACATTGCCCCTTTCTCTTGATCTCTCTCTTTTCTCTTCTCTCCTGTGGTCATTTGTCGTAAATAAAAACACGTGCGTAGTCGTTCTCAGCACTTTTTTTGGTGTGTGACCAGTCGATATTACGATTTCTCCTTTTGCTTTAGCAATGATCTTAGTTTGTATTTCTTGTTTTTAAACACTTTAGTTATTTATTTCTTTGGTTTTAGATAAAATTATGGAAACTATGGCAGCAAGTGGATGTTCGGAAGCAGAGCCGTCAGGTTGGTAGAACTGAGTGATTGTTGAGTTAAATGGAACACAAAAAAAGCAAATTGATTAATCTCTACACAATATATTTTAAGAACCACCCATTGGCTCATCTCCATTTCCCAAATCACCTTCAGAATATTCGATCAAGAGCGACTTCGATTCGGTCGAGCAATTGCCTGTCACTTCTCAATCACCGTAGGAAATTATAACATATCGCCAAAAGATTCAACGAAATCTATTGATTGCCAGCGGTAACGCCCGCCTAATAGCGGACTTCACGGCTTTTTTGCCGTGGCGCAGTCGGGATCGCGTTTGTCCACGGACCACACGACCCAGGAGTCGAACCCTCGTAGTTCCACTCAATTTTGACTTTTAAAATTTTTTATTTCAAATAGCACAACTATATTATATATATCATATACAAACGGGCGGACAGACACTGCTCTTTTCTATATAATAGATTTGAGAAATAACTTTTAGATTCATAAATCCCTATCCATCTCCATCGATGATTGGTGCTTTGAATCGTCAAGAGAACTATGCCATCGGTTAGTCAACAAGATTTTTGTGGTTTTAAATGTTAAACATAATTAGCTTTCAGAAACAAAGAGCACTTTTTAGGTATTCCAAACGATTCTGAAAGCTCATCTAGATCTTCATTCGATGCCCAACAACCGAGAGAACTCAGCGAGTCGTCAAGAAGATTTAGGTAGGGAGCTATTTTGAAAAAATGCATTCTGAAAATAAATATATTAAATATTTGTACATATGATTGGATTAATGTATGAGTTTCAGAGAATCTCGAAGTCATGAAAGAGGACTCTCTTCTGGAGAATCGTCCACCGATGATGATGAGCCATTCGATCACGAAGGACCACAATCGAGAAGACCTTCTCAGTCGCAGGTTGGTGAATTGTCATTTTTCAATAAAGTAATTGAGGTATATTTATGATGTCAAAGTTTATATTCAGGAACAGTTGAGTTTACTACGACCAACAGATGCCCCTCGAGGTCGGCTCGCCAACATTCGAAGAGAATCCTCGTGTTCGGTCGATAGCGAGGTTAATACTAGATTTATAAGTACACTACAGTTTCAAAATGGCACATAAACATTTCATTATTTTAAATTTAGATATCACATGAACGCCTATTGAAAGCCACACAAAAAGTATCTGCTCAATGGGATGAGCTGAGCATCGAAGAACAAGAAAGGAGACCCGATAGTACGAGGTTGGTCAGGGAAAAAGGAAAATGCGAGATGTAATATTTAATGTGCAATCCAATGAAACTAAATGCTTTTCAGCACTTCAAATAATGGCCGAAGGAACAGCTCCGTCTCTGAACCAATCACTGTCGCAATCATGAATAACGCTTTTCTTCCGCATTCTTGTTCACCAAGTCCGACGCGATATGAACCAGCTAAAGTGAGTCATAAACATTATCATATTGAGTAAAACTTTCATTTCAGCAATGTTACTCTCCTTCAACGCACACCTTTGTGAGATCGAATATCCCGTACTCTCCAAGTCCCAGTCCAACTAGAAGTCCGTCGAGAAATCGATTAATGAGGTACTTTTAAGAAATCGATTAATAAGGTTTTTAAAACATTAAAAGAACCTTTTATTGCATTAAATAAATTTTGTAAAGTGTTAGACTCCGATCACAATCACCGTCACCAATCGCTGGCCCACCAAGATCTTTGAAGAGACGAATGAATGAAATGGCGGGAAATGGAGAAAATGGAGAAATAAAGAGAATATGTGGCTTGCAATACCCTAGGTATTCGACGATTTATCTAACTAATTAACAAATAAGATAATTTCAGAGGTGCAACGAGTCCTCTTGTACAAGAGCGTCCATTTTCCTCATTTCCTGGAGGTGCGCCGATTGCTGTCGATTTTACCCAACCAAGGTAAGTGGCTAACTGAGCAAGTCAAGTCATTTTTTTCAATTTAGTACCTCAATGCTATTTGCACAACCAAAACGACCCGAATTATTGAGAAGAATTTCCTTGGACTCTTCTCCTTCATCTTCTCGAGATCAAGAGGGCGGAGAAACACCAATGGAAGAGACATCTGAACCACTCCTTGATACATCCGATCCATTTGCAAGACCTTTCTCAAATGGTTCGTTGATTTGCATATTAGAATTAACTCACTGAAACTTGATAATCTTTCCAGCAAAGTAGAAACATTTTAGAAAGCGCTCAAACTGAAGGAAATCCTGGATCAATTTCAATGGCGAGTGGAATAGATACGGTGAGCTTCAAATCACTTAAAATCTAAAATAATTTAAAAATAAAAAGTTCAATAAACATGGCATGTATTCTCTTTAGAATCCACCAACTCCCCTTTCTTGTGTAAGTGGACATGGAGATCTTCCATCAACACTCACTGATATCGAGAATAGTTTCACGAATGATGTCAATGATGTCAATGATTCACCAAGTTCAATAAAGGATATCACCGAGCCTCCAATATCTGATCCAACAATCGATTCATCGACTCCCGAGGCATCTAATCATTCGTGAAAATAGTTACCAATCGTTTTAATTTAACTGTTGTGTTTGAGTGTTTACATAGTTACAAAGGGCAATGATTTTTTATAAACGATGCCATTGCAACTTTGGATTAAACGGTTAATTTATTGTTGTCATTTCTTGTATTCATAATGGGTTCATCAAAAATATTTCACGGCTTTACGGATTTTTCCAAAAAAGTTCTCAAATTGCTCACAATCACTTCATATCGTCTTTTATATTTTCCAGTAATTACCCAAATGCTAAGATTGAGGAATTGATCTCATTTGTAATTTTTATTCATGAAAATGGTTTTGTTTTCTCAAAAGTTTGTTTACAGTTTTGTTTACAATTTTGTTTACAATTGAATTGACTCAATGTGATTGGAAGGGCCTGGTGAAGAAAAATATGAAAATGACAAAGAATACTCAACATTTAATGACAGAAAAGAAGTGACGAGTCGGAAAAGGTGTACATGAAAACGAAAAGATTTCTCAATGGATAAAAAGGAAATACTTTTATCTGAATACTTTGGCCTATTTGGTCTGAATTTTAAAGAAATTCAATTCAGACGAAAAGGAATTCTGGAAATTCAAACGATACCCTTCAATTTAATTTCATTTATTGATAGTAAAGACAAAAAATATTACCATATTTAATCCATGTATATGTCGTAGCCGATTATGAATGAAATTTTTTGGCAAATCTTTCTAGTAGAGCAACCCCTTAATGTATGAGGACAATATTATATCATCTTGTAACGAATTAAATCCTGCGTCGATTGGTACCAAATTTGTGAGTTTAGGCCAAAAAATTACCGGCGCTACAACGAATCGGCGGGACCCCCGTAGCCGATTATGAATGAGTGGGTCTAGGAGCGTCCAACCATCAAGTATTTAGTATCATTCAACGCAGAATCATTGATAATTATGTTAAATTTTTAAAATTAGCAAGGTTTGATAAAAAGAAAAAAATTAGAGCAAAAAAACTTTTTGTTCAAGAAGAAACTTTGAAGCCCCATAATTTTTTTTCTTTTTATCCAATCTTTCTAATTTAAAAAATTTAACATAATTATTAATGATTCTGCGTTGAATGTTACTAAATACTTGATGGTTGGACGCTCCTAGACTCACTCATTCATAATCGGCTACGACATATGAACTTGAAAACAGCAATTCGAACATTTTAAGCAGGAAAAGTTGAGGTTCAAATAAAAAAAAGAGGTTTTTAAAACTAGCTCCCAGAAAAAGAATCACTATCGATTTCTAATAAATGAGATTCAACAAAGTCGGCGCCTTTCCGGAGACAAATTTTCTTGTTGAAAACATTTGTCAGCTTTTTTAGAGTTGATGTTTTATCTTGTTTCTGCTATCATTACGAAGCCGCATTCAAAATTTGGATTCACTTAAGAGACCGTTGAAGAAATTTTTGATGAGTCATAGTTTTCAATTTGACATCATTTTTATCTTGGCTTTTTATCAAAAAAATTTGCAAATCTTTTGATGATTGTCCTCTTTTTACAAACATACAAATGTTTGCAGAGGCAATTTTTTGTCTCTTTGATAAGATATAAAAAGAAATCGTTTAGTATAATGTGCAGGTGGTTTTGAGAAAAAAACAGCTAGACTAGTTCTTTGAAAATTGAAATGGTAACCAATAGATAGACAGTAAAGCCTAGTAAAGTTGCAATGTAACGCTTTTTTTGAGAATGCATTTATTACACAGAGTATTGCAAAAGTCTTGTGCATTCAATGCTGATACGTACTACATACATTGAAATATTACATACGAGTGATCGTATGATTGAAAGGATATGACAACTCTTCCTCTTTACTTACAACTCTTCCTCTAGACTATACATATGACGAAAGCATTCACCTTTGAAATTAACTCAATGAAGTCTCAAAATATTATGTCAAAAACGTTGAATATGTATGACCGGCTGAGCATACATTTGACGTGAAACCTTGGAGCGAAAAAGAGGCAATTGAGATCGATTTGGTTTATGGTGAAAGAATCTAAAGAGATTCAATCAGTGACTCTTTGTGATATTTGACAATTCACTTACCTTTAACATATTCTTAAATTTTCTTTCTGCTCTAAGCCATTACCGACAGAAGAACTATGTTTTTGTTTCACCGACAATCTCTGTCAAGTGCTGTCTCTTTTCACAATCTAGAGATTGTGAGACAATGCTTCACTAATTTGTCTCTCCTAAATATTTCATTATGTTTTCTCTGTTGAAAGCAAACTTTTTTAAAGTCATCACGGCGATAATTATGAATTCTTTTCAAGAATGTTTTGATGTTATTTTGTGATCAATTGTTTGTTGTCTTACGTCCAAATTGTTTGTTTTATTTTGGCCCTGAAAATGAAAAGCTCATAAATGCTCAAGCTCTAAAACTTTACTCGCTTAAAACGAAGACCACTATTTGATAATGTGAATGACGTTAAAAAAATCCTGTGCATCTGTTTTTGAAACATGTCTGATGGGATGTTTGAATGTTATCTTGATCCATCCATTCCCATCTCTTTCTCCTTTATCCATTTCTTTTCCTTTTTTCTATTCAGCTCGAATTTCTTGCCTTTCTCTCTCACAATTTATTTATTCTGCCATTATTTACACGCTTCGAGTCGATAGAATTTTTTGACGCAAAAAAGCTAAGAAGGGCTTTTTCTCTTACTGATACTGTTTACTTTCTTTTTCTCCTATCTTTTTACCTTTTTACCAATGACGATTCAAAAAGTGGTGAGTCATTGTAATGAGATCTTTTTGAAGGTTTTGAAATTTCTGATCATTTAAAGGGCATAAAATTTTGAGAGAGTTTATCACGAACCCATGATTGCTTTGTTTTCTTTGAATCATGGGATTGATTGTCAAAGCATAAGCCAGTCTATTAATAAATTTCCCTGAATTAGAGATTCCTGCAAAGATTCGATCTTAACCAGATTACCTCTGTTTAAATTATTTCACTTCAAAACACGGATGTGTACTTTTTCAGTCAACGACCGTTTGCTGACATTTCTAGCGTTTTGTAAATCTCACAATTCTTTATGATCCTCTTACGTTTCATGACGACCGAATTGGGGAGCCAGGCAACTCATAGGCCGGGAAATTTAAGAAATACCAATAAATGATGAATTCGTGAAGAATTTTGTAGATCAGAACATGTTTTTCACTCTTGAACTTTCACATTTTTTGCGATAAAGAATCTTTCGTCAGCTTGGCGAGCTGAATATAAACAAAGCCATAAATCTCCCTAAAACAGTTCTTGTTTGTGGATGATCTGTTAAATGGACAAAACAGTCTAAAGGCCCATCGTTTTTGCCTCAAAACTTGTGCATCAAATTTCAAGTTTTTCTACGATCCATGCCCCATATTCATCAAAATCTTGAAAAAAAAAACACGGTTTTTCTGTACCAGAACTTGTTTGTATAAAAGGGGAGGACGGGCCATAAAACGGGCCAGCTCATTCAATGACGACCTTTCGTTTTTACAGAAACCCATAAAATTTGTTTGAATGAATATCGAGGGAAGAGATGACCGTTCAATTCTTTTATCTCTTCTTTCCTTTGATCTCTTTCACAGTTTTCACAGCTTCTTCTTTCCACCTTTTTATGTAAAGGGTCTTATCGATGTTTGCCGAGTTTTCTTTTTTTTTCGCACTTTTCTCCCAATCTATTCGCTTAAACGATCGGAATTTCAAAATTTTGCTAGGGAAACTTGATGAATCATATAGGAATTGTATAAATTGTGTTTTAGAACTCGATGATTTCAGTTTAACTTTGTGAATTGTCAATTTTATTTTTAAAATATCTAGTCAAGTAAAGACAAATCAAGTCAGTCAAGCCAGTTGATAGTCAAATATCCAGCAATCTATTCTTTTTTAGAAAAAAGGTACAAAACTGATTTCACTTTTGTTGTTTGTTGATTTAGAATTGAGAGACTCTAAAAAAATTGAAAGACAGAGAGAAATGAAAAGAAAAACAATCTCTCTCGCTGCACATTTCCCTCTAAAAATTTTGCATTCAAAACAGATTGATTGACTGAACATTTTGTCCTTTCTCGAGGAATCATGATCACTTTTCAAAACATTTAGAATCCCTTTGCTTCCTACAGCTTTTTATTGCAAACTTTGCTTTGTAATTAATTTATTGTGAGACTGAATTTGATTTACTATTTGATTTGATACATATCATCCTTAATTTTTTGGAGACTTTCCGTGATGTGCTTCTCTGGAATTGGTCAAATCGTTTTCGGGATCATTATGATTGCCTGTTTTGTCCTCACATGTGCATCCATGTTCTCAGATAGTAAGTTTCAAAGTTACTAGTGAAAGGTACTCTTTTACTTTTACTTGTACTCTTTTATTTTGAAATTCAGACTGGAGAACCTTCAAAAATAATGCGGAAGATACAATCAAATCTGGAATATTCTCTTTCAATTGTCATATACCTGGATCAAATGGGGCAGCACAAAGTTGTGACTCAAGTGAATGGTGGAATGTTAGTTTTAATCTAGAGGAGCTTCAAACAAAATATTTTAGAGTCTCAAAACATGGGAGAAAGTGACAGTCGTGGCGATGTGTCTTGCAGTGGCTACAGAACTGCTGTGTCTTGCTTGGAATCTCTTCGCTTGCTTTGCATGTTGCTGCAAAAAGGTTAGAGAAAAGGAATCACTTATAAGTGCAGTTTTTCCAAAAGCTAGTTGGGCGTAAGCGTTTAATTCACATGAAATTAAAGATATTTTGGCTCTTTCCTAATACTAGATACCTTAAAAGATCGGGTACTTTAGCCATGGGACGGGTACTTAAGAAAATCAGGTACCTTATACAGCGATTTGATGCTTTGCTTTAGCGTTGATGTTTATTTTTATGTTTATGTATCAATATGTTTTTTTTGAACAAAGGCTGTGGTTTTATGGTAACGGATAAGAGGCTTCCTCACCAACAAATGTTGAAAAATTCGTTTCTTTGCAATAGCTCTTCTGAAAATGTATTCAAAAAGATATGTCGGAAGATGATCTTTTGTTTTTCCCCCAAAGATCTACACACTTTGTGCTTCGTTGCCCCCCAAGTAGACTCCACGTAAATGAGGGAAAAAACGCAAATGTTAAAAGTTTGTTGGTGAATCGCTGGATAAGATACCTGTTAAAGTACCCGATTTTTTTCAGGTAGTAGGAAAGAGGCGATATTTTTGAATAGCAAAATTTCAGTACGTCATCCATCCACTCACGCTTTTTGCCACCTTGGTCGCTATTTTCCTGGCTGTAGGTGTCATTGTCTATGGAGTGAATAACAAGGATGCTTTGGGTAAGTAACATGTTTTAAAGCAGCTTTTAGTTTTTAGAACTATTTTTAGTAGGTAACACATGTTCTTCTTTTCTACTAACAATTCAAAACTGTTTATACTTTATAGAATGTGCTCAGAAAAAATTTGGAAGCCTGCTCAATCAGGCATTGATTATGAACAGTTCTCTTGTTGAAGAGTTGAAAGGCTTTGAAGATTGTTTGCTTGAAATTCAAGGATATCCACAAATCAAAGAACTTATTGAATCAGCTGATAAAATCAAAACAGTCGAAGATTTATTGGGAACTTTGACTAATGGAACAATAAGAGCAATCATTAATGATGAAGCAAACAGTAATAACTTGAATAGATCCGTGATCAAAGAAGAGGAGTAGAAAAGCAAAAATCAATAAGTTACTGACAATGCTGACAATGCCAAAAGGCCAAAGCAAAAATGTGCCGGATCAATGTTTTTTTTTATGATTTTGCATTCTAATAGTAAATCCACAAACTTTGCCCCAAAAGGCTTTTTTGTTAGATCGATTTCTAATGATGGGGCATCCAGGATGCTCCATAGCTATCTATGGGGTTTCTACGGGATCCCCCATAGCTTCTTATCGGGCATGGTTTTCATCGGGTATGCATTTCATGAGGCATCCTTGATACTCCATAGCTTCTTATGGGGTTAACCTACCATGCCTGATAGCTTTTCATGGGGCATCCCTACGCTACCCCATAGTTAGATCGATCCTTTTTATTGACCACGGATCTAATAATCAAAAGCTTGCTCTAATCGCTTAATTTTTGGATTTTAAGCTTTCAATTTTACCTCTTAAATTTTTCTACTCTTTGCAAAAGCATGTTTTTGGTTCAGATTTTAATTTATCAAAACAAGAAAGCCTCTTTAACAAATAAATAGGTAGGTCAAATTTCTAATATTCAAAACGAGTACAATACTTCAATTTCGTGATTCAGCTTTGCTTTTTAGAAGATTTCTAGCAATGAGAGTTTTAATGACTTTCTCTATTTATAAGATGACTTAAAAAAGAGCTTTCTGTTTGGTGATTAAAAATCAATTTGTTCGTTAAATTCACGAATGTTTCCTTTTCAGACAACGTCAACTTTAATAATGGAGAATGGAAAAAGACCGAAGTTGGATATTCATTCTATCTGGCTGTGGTGGCTCTCGTGTTAGCTGTCGTGGATATTTTTGTCGCTGGATTGACTGTTTGTTTGGCTGAGAAATGTTGCTAAACTATGTTCTCTCATCAGTGTGTATGCTTGAGTGATTTTTCCAAACAATAAAACAAATAATCAAATTTTACAAAAGTAGTCCTTTAACTTGACTTTCTGAAAAAAAAAAAACTATACTTTTGTGTTCTCACCTTCATCAAGTTGTCAACTTACACAAATCTCTTTTCGAAAACTTGTCAATTTGTCTGTGATCGAACTTGCCTTTAACTCTAACTCTCTATATGGACAAACGTTGCAATAAGTTTAACTCACAATGTTTTTCTCATCATATCCTGAGTGAATTTCAATTGAATAATCAATTTCGGGTCGCTAGCCATTTTATAGCACTGTTTCTTTGCTTTTTCTTTGTTGACCGTTTAACAAAAGCTATTTTTTATAAACTATGTATATTATAAAATTTCAAGCATAAAGAAAATGAATTTAAACATTTTAAAACATCAAAAAACGATATGAAGAGCACTATTGAACATTTCAATCAGAAGTGAAAGCATGAAGTATATACAGATAAATCGATAAAAAAAATCCTTTCTTATCAAATTCCAATTTAGTGGCTGTTAAAAGAGCAAGCACTTTCATTCAAGTTAATGGCATAAAAAGTTTTCTTTTTGTTTTTAAACCAAAAGTGCCCGCTTTTCTTTGGCCTTTGATAGCTTTTCTCACTTAATTATTAACATTATATTCAACCTTTAGCCTATTGATCGAAAGATAGTTTTGCCTCAAAAACCGAAAGAAAGGGAGCTTTTTATCAGAATTTTCACCCTCTTTCTGGTAGGAACTACTGATGATTCACCAAGAATTATATAAACCTTTGTCCTAGCATTCGAATGATACACTTATTTCTTCTTTTATCAAGATTTCAACTTTAAGCGTATCGTTTAACGACAGATTAAACGATACGTTCTGTGGTAAAAATTTACATATTTCTTGAGAGTTGTGTTTGTTCACTTACACGTCTTTTCTAATCACCTAAATCTTTGTGCTTCACCTTTTGATAACAAATTTTTCAACGACTGCTAGAGTAAGAAGTTGAAAACGCCCCAATGTATGACGTGAAGCGATTTTTTCAACTTTTTTATTTTACTTTTTATTTAAACGATTTTACCATAGAATTATCGGTCTTTAGTTTTTAAAAAACCACAACATCGTCGACCATGTGTCTATCAGGAGTTGGCCAAATTGTCTTTGGCATCATCATGACATCATGCTTTATTCTTACTTGTGTAGCAATGTTTTCACCCAGTAAGTATCCAATGAATGCCAATACTACAAAACGCAACTGAGTTTCCGAAGATTTTATATATCTTATTTAGATTGGCGCTCCTTCAGGGATGACACAGATGATAAAATGACAACCGGACTTTTCAAGTTTAACTGCAAATTTCCGGGAACTAATGAAAACGACTCAACAGATCGTTGTGGAAAAGACTGGTGGAAGGTTTGAAACGGAAAAATCTTTTTCTAAAGAAGTTTCAGCATCTTCACACATGGGAAAAAGTAACGGTTGTTATGATGTGTTTGGCCCTAGCGACGGAGTTGCTGTGTCTTGCTTGGAATCTCTTTGCGTGCTTTGCTTGCTGTTGCAAAGGGGTAAATCCAGAAGCGATTGAATTCAATAATAGAAGTTTAGATCGTAATTCATCCACTTACATTCTTTGCCGTACTTGTCACTTTATGGCTAGCGATTGCAGTTATCGTCTATGGTGCAAACACTAAAGATTCTTTAAGTAAGTGCTCAGCAAAATAGAAACTTTCAGAGAAAACTAGTCGATACAAATGCATTCGAACAATTGTAGTTTTTAATCGGCCAACACAAGAGTTTTCTCATTAATCTCAAAGCACAATCAATCAAAAAGTACATTTAGAAGACATTGATTGGGGTGCTAAAGATGCTCCAAAAACTGAAATCGGATATTCATTCTATATGGCTGTGGCTGCGTTAGTGTTAGCTTTGGTGGATGTTGTTGTCGCATCGGTGACCGTTTTCTTGGCTAAGAAATGTTGCTAGATATTTGGAGAGCACCGAGTCAGCATGTATTGATTATTTTACAACATAAGTTTACTTTACATATCAGTATATTGTTTTCGTGAGTACGTATTGTAATGTAATTGACATCACTTTCCGCCAATCTACCATTGGATTTAACTCATTTTATTCGGGTATAAAATTTGTTTTTGCAATCTATTTTCATTATCTTTTATGTTGTTTGTCACTTTCTTTGTTGAGAATAAACTTTATGAAATCAATAATGAAATAAGAAAATCAACATCATATAAAACTCAAACTAGCCTAGCTCAAGAAGTCATCAAAGCGTTGTCTACACAATAATACTACTCCCGCCATAAACAAAACACATATGATTTGCACACTCCTTTGGTGAAAGATGGTAACAAGGATTAGAAGTCCAATGATGAATGATTAAAGATTCTGGACGATCCTTTGGATCAACATTTTTTAAAGTAAAGTTTTGTTTGTTGTTGAACAAATGAACAAGAACGGTTCGACCCTGAAAAATTAGTGTAATTTAAACAAATGAACAGCTTGTACACAATGAACAGCTTGTACACAAAAATTTCTAGCGCTCTAGTTTTTGCGTAGGCATATTTCAATTAAAATGCCCACTTGCTCTATCGTAATCCATTATTTCTATCAAGAATTGACATTAGAAGGGTAAAGTTATATTTGGGGTCCTCTGTGAAATCTACCTGAAATTTCACAACATTTACATTAAGTTAACTAAAGAAATACGCTACGATCTATTCCAGTTCTTTTCAGAATGTCTTATCATTTACAAATTCCCCAGTGAATCAGCTTCGCTCCCTTTTTATACCTCAGCTTGTGTGCTATTCGCCAATTCCATGATAGAAGTCTCCACGTTTGTGCTTGCCACATCACTGAAAAAAATGAAAATCTATTATGTTGTGGTGAATCATTAATAAAAAGTGATTTCATTTCAAGTTGCAAAGCTCTTGATGAACGGAAAAATGGCAAAAGGGGTATTCAATAAAGTTTAGTTTTAGAATCTTGCATCTTATTTTTTCAAATATTATTGCTCTCGACTCACGTGCTTGGTTTGAATATGATGTGTATTGGTGGCTTTCCACAAAACAAATCGGGTACTCCATCAGAGACTTTTAATGGAACTGTGTTCACAAGATTTGTCAGATAATAGAAAATTTGAAGAAAAAGAACTTGATTCCTGGTCGACAAACTCATTTTTGAAATTCGCTTCAAAATCCCTCACGTAAATCCTTGATCGGGGAGATTGATTTGAATAAGTCAATATTCTCACAAATATTTGTCTCTTACGTAGGGATTGTTGTTTCCGATGTCGTAGGATTTCGGAGTAAATATGATAGAACAATATTTAAATAATAAAAAATCAGAGCATTTTTTGAACATCCCAGTGATTATAGATACAGATAATAACTGTAAATTCCAGATTTTTTTGTCCAACATTTGTATTCTAACCAATTCCAGAGCTTCTGAGCGGAAATGTTTGTGTTCTTGAATCATGATTGCGATTTGATTAAGGATTTTTCTCGTAAATTTTGTGAAGACTTTTTGTTTCTGGTTCTTCGACACTCTCAGTTGGCTTACAATAGTCTTATTAAATTTTAGTCCATGATTTATGAGCAAAAATAAACGGAGAAAAAAAGACATTTACACACAAAACGGGAAGACTTTTTTTCATAGCAAAATCTTGTTTATCAAAAGAAAAAATTTGATATGAAATGGCAGAATCAAAACGAGATTTACAGATTGAATTTGGAAAATCGATACTTATAACACAACCACATCAAAATGTAGTTCAAAAAAGAGCAAACAATGTATAGAAAAAAACTACTGAGATTTCTTTGCTAAAGCTGTTAGTAGTTCAATATGTTAATGCTGCAATGGATATAAACAGAGAACATTGGGGACTAGAAAGAATTCTTCTAGAAAGAATCAAGGAAAAATCTCGAGACTAGAAAATCACCAGCAAAGTGTTAAAATTTTTCATGGAGTTACGGTGGTCACGGCGTAGAATGAAAGGATAAAGCTCACTATTTTTTAAAGGAACGAAGAAAATTTTTAGTGTGTTGATGAACGATCTGAGTGAATGACAGTCAAAACAGTTTCAGACACTAAGAATTCAATGGGAAAAGAATACCACTAACTGTATTGTTTAAATCCATCAACATAATCAATAAAGTTTAGTGAAATTTGTATTTAACTACGTTCACTTATCCAAATCGGATCGCGATGAGTGTGCTGAAGATCCTCGTGGAGAAATTTTGCCTTGTTGCTCGAGATGTTTTCGAGTTAGGAAACCCCTGGAAAGTAATTTTTACAGTAAATCTAGCAATAACAAGTTTCACTTTTTGTCTCATTATAGTTACCAAAAGCTATTCAGCCAACAAGACTGCCTTTGTTCGAATAATGGCACAAACAGTCTTATCAGCTGAATTCTTAATTTCGAAATAAAAGAGTAAAACAAGAGACTATGAAACTTACAGTATTGTTAACAAAATGTTTTTTTTGGTTAGTTTGTGATATTTTTATCTTTTAGAAGCCTCAAAGGTCTAAAAAGAGAACAAATATTTCATGCGAATCACTCTGAAATCAACCAGAGCTAAACGAATAAGTGCCGTTTGAACAGATTGATATTTGGAACTTTGTGCTTTCTAGGTTATAGATTTGTTGAGATTTACCGGTTTGTAGCATATTAATGCTTTCTAAAATATATATTTCTCTGTATTCTTCTTATTTTTCTCTAATTTACCAACCTAATGTGTGCTTGAATTTTTGTGGCCGCTTCGGCATCTTCTTTCTTCATTTTCTCCACTTTTTTTCGGGCCAAGAACCCTCGAATCTCAGCCTGAAATATGTATTACTAGTATATAAATTATCCAAAAAGTCTCATTTAAATAAGCTCAAATTTTTATACACATCAGGTAAACAATCTAGCTCAAACCGACCTGAATTTTCGTGGCAGCTCGATCTTCGGGCGAGTCCGATTCAATAGTGTATCCGCCAATACTGTGTCGCCTAAAAAGCGGTTTTATTACAAAAACTAAGCTATTTGCTTTGCTTTTAACAGTAAATCTCTTTAACTTACTTTTGATCTTTCTTGTTATCAACCATACTCATCTTTCCGCTGCTATGAGTTCTGCTCATAGACGGCTTGATGCCGAAACGCTCAGGATTCTTGCGAACCTGTAATTTTTTAAAATGATTCCGTATCTGAAAAAGTTTTGTTAATGAATGATTTCAAGGAAAGACTAATGCGAACAAAAACTCTATCAAATGGCCTGTAAAAATATGAGAAAGGTTATTCCTAAAAATGCTTGTCAAAAGTTATTTCTATTTTAACCACAAGAGCACAAAATCTTCCGTAAATATTTTTGCGTGATTCAGTTTCAAGAGAAAAGAGCCGAAGAGAACTTCAATTCGTGAATAATTTGCGTTGTTCACAGGTTGAGCGGTTCAAAAAAAAGGATTTCGAGAGCAATCAGCAAAAATCGATAAGGAATCCTCTTGGAAATTCCGTGTCATCTTGGGTTAAAAGAAAAAGAAAAAGGAAAAAAAAGAAAACAAAATATGGAAACGGATGAAACAAATAAGATCCCATCAAGAAAAGGATTCAAGAAAAAGAAGGTGCTAAAGCTTATGGACTCACATCTCATTCGTCTATCAAGAAAATACTTTCTATTGTAATCCCAAACGATAAAGGATTTGTAAAAATGTATAAAGGACTTTCTAAAGAGATTTTTCTTGAACCTACATTCTTAAGCTTAGAAAAGTTCACAAAGATATCTTAAGTATTTCGGAAGAATGAATGAAAAGTGGGGAAACAAGGAAAAATCTTGAATGAAAGAGGAATCTTTCAAATTTTTTTTTCACCCCTTTTCCAATTGATAACGAGGTTTTGGCCAAAAACTACGTAATTCCCTCCTTCAACTTAAGCCTTAACGATTGAACAGTGTCGTGGAATATTTCCTTGACAAAAATAAAAGATTGAATTTTGACCAAAAAGGAATAAACCATTACACGTTTATGCTTGAAATTTGAAGTTACCAGGCTCTTTATCAAGTCTAGAACCAAGAGTTTTCATGGGTCTTTCAAATAAACTCTATCAGCAGTAAACTACAAAAGGTTAGCTTTTTAATAAACTTTTTCTAAAATACAGGTTAGGGGAAATTTCAAAACGTCGGGTTTTCTAATAGTGAAGTAAAACATGGTTGGACAGGAAGCTAAATCGAACTTCCGGTCGGTTAGGATTGAGAGCCCAGAATACTTCAAAAAAAGCGTTTGGTATAAAGATTTCTGAGTTGTTTGAAGCTTTGAATTCAATATCGAACCATATGTCCTTTGAATACAGCTTGAATCTTTGTTGCAGCCGTGTCAAGTGGAGATCCCGGTCTCTCATCATCTTTTGAAGCCATCTCGTTATTCTGAAAATGCTATCATGAAGACGTAGGAAAGCCAATCGTGAGCTAAATTTAGATTTGGAAAATCTTTGATTGATAGAGTTTTAGAATCTTTGATTGATAGATCTTTGGCATTATTCAAAGTAGTGAAACAATTTTTTGCTGAATGATTTTAAGTAAATACGCAAGGCATAAAAACAAAAATCTAAAAAACTGCAAAGACTCTTAAAAGTTTGCGCAATTTTCTGTTTTGCCACAACTAGCTATGAGAACAAAAATTGCTGAAGTAATTGAAAATTCTCGGGTCATTTGCGGTAGTAAAAGAAAAAATCGAAAATGGAAACAGGTGAATTAAAAATGAGCTTTTTCCCCTTTGTAAAGCTGTAAAGCGAAACTTTAAAATAATGTAGGCATTTGTTCATAGTAGTTAGTCAAATGGAAACCGACTATAACAAGCCTTAAAATCAAAGAGAGATGAACAAGCCACTTCATTCGCCAGACACCCACACAAAATTTACATAATCGGCTGAAAACGAGTGGTCACCAGCGGAAAGAGATAAGCATTTTTTGAATGTTTTTAAAGTAAATATTATGTAGTTTAAAATTTTTATATCCAACAAATAGCAACAAACAGCAACAAACCCTTCGTTGTAAATCGGTGCGAAACATTTCGTAGGCAAGAGGCTCACCGATGATATTCGTGCTTGGATTACCTAAAAAAGATTTTGTAAAAAAGGTTAGGTAAAATGTGACGCTTGTCTCAGCTTTAGCCTTAAAATAAATGCTTTCTAGTTGTCTGAAACTTTTTAAACAACAACTTTCAAGCAAGATTTATTGCATGCCCGGAAATCCCAAGTTGTGTTTAGAAGAAATTTCACGGCCATATGAAAAAGAAGGTAATTCTAAAATACGATTTAGAATATTGTTTGTTCAAGAAATGGTCAAACAAATAGAGTCCGAGAAGCGGAAATTGAGCTAATCAACACCCTCTTGCCTCCTTTCAGCCCTCTCTTTTTCCGTCTATGTTCATCCATATCCAAGACGGGGTCCATTAATTGGATCTTCTTAAAGAAATTGGAAAGGATTCATTACGTTCATGAGAACAAAATCTCTCATTAGTCGATTAAACAAAAAATTTCCGGGGAAGGAGGCTGTGTTTATTTACTCTAGAGAAGGTTTAACACATTCACGACAAAGTCATTTTTGGCTTGGTTGCAGTTTCGGACGATAGCTATCTATGTTAGCTGTAGACCTGAAAATTTGTAACCGAAGGCATTCTGGGATGGAGAATCTGAATCCGTTGTTAGTTTTTGAGCAACTTTCATTTCCGAGCCAATACGGCCATCACAAAACTCTCTAAAACTTGAGTAATTAAACCAAATTGGGGAGAAAAAGGCGAAACCGAGTTTGGGTTTTTTTATTGCTAAAGACCGTGTGCCAGAAGCCGCCTGATTACGCAAATATGAAAAGTTTTACGTTTTTGTAATCGCACACCTTTTGGCACACGTAGGTATGGGTTCCACTTGGGTAATTAAACCGAATGAATTATCCAAAAATAGAGCAGTTTTCTTTAAAAACTAAGACGGATTCGAACTCCTCATCCTCGAAAGCCCTGATTGCAAATTTTCAGCCCAATCGGCCTCAAAAAAAAAATCGACGTACGGCCCACCGGCGGGCCGGATCGTCGCGAATGTGTTAAGAGATAACACTGTACAACCAAATAGAAACTTCTTACAGATAAAGTTTAAACTTATTATTGCTGTTACAGCAACCAGCAATTACAAATCTCATGAAAGCCAGGCCCGAAAAAATATGTTTTTGAGGTCTCTCGAATATTCCCTTCCCCTTTTCCAGATGCTTAGATTTCCGCGTAACGTGTGAGGCTCAAAATTCCTGAAGATTGACGTGAGAGCGCTTTTCGTGAATATCAAATTTGCATTTTGGTCATCAACTTTGGGAAAACCAAAAATTAGCTAAAAGGCTTTCTGGAAAAACGTTTAGTGTTAATTCAAAACGAAATAAGAATGTCAAGGATGCTTTGATTTGCTCATCAAAAGTTTTAAATCACCCCTCCAAATCTAATAGGAAAACCCTTTAGATTTGGTAAAAAATTTCCAACTAAAATATGCACAAAGTATGGAAAAAGTGAACCTTCGCGAGAAATCCACCAAAAACTTTTTTCTTTTCCCCTTCCCCTTTTTTTTCTTTCTTGGCATTGGCAATCGGATGAATGATTTCTCGGAAACGAGACGACCCAAAAAGTTGGATATTTCAAAAAAGAAAAAGGAAAAAAATGATGTTTATTAAAATCTCAATTCATTTAGGTAATTCAAAATGCTTCAAAATTTGAAACTTTTTGTGACAATTCTGTGAGTCGAATTCTATCATTTCGAATTACTTTTAAGTAAGTAAAAACGTTTTTCCCTTAAAACAATCTTTTCAAAAAATATATATAAACAATATCTGAAGAATATATTTTTCTATGGCACAAATTGTGGTGTGAATGGGAGGGCCATGAAGAGGGAACGAAATTGAGGGAGAAGACGGGCACATTTCATCCCAAAATCTCTTTTCACTATTTTTCCTTCGTTTCATTTACATAGGTAGAAACAATATTGCAAAATCTGCTTTGATTTTTTGTTTCAAGTTTTCAAATTTCAATTAAAGCATGTTTAAACATTACATGAACTAAAGTTAATCAGTTTACTAAGGCAATTTTTACTAAGGCAATGAGACATCAAAATTTTCCTGATTGCAGGAAGCTTTTGTATTAAAAGTTCAATTATTACAATTCTAAAGATTTCGTATTTGCTGGTTTTTACTTTGTAAAAAAGACCGCAAAGAATCTTTGAGAAATCCCGGAACAGGAAATACGCTCAACTACTCAAATGTAACGAAAAATCTCTAATTTTTGCTGAGGAAAAATTTGATTACTTGAAAATGCTCTGCGAAATTGGGATCACCAAAATTTATGTTTTGTTGTAATTTGAGTTTTTATTTTAATTGAATATTGGAAACTGTAAATTAATCCTTTTTGTTAGCTGAGTTTTGTAATATTTGTCAGCCTACTAAAAGATATATTAAACTTAGCACCACAAAGTCTTTGTATCCAAAAACTTACTCATTTTGTGTTGTTGAAGTGAATCGAAGAAAAGTTGGCCAAAAGAAATCAAATCCTTTGGCTGAGCACGGATTGATTCGCGAGCCAAAGCCTAAATGGGAATATTTTTGTACTATAGTAAAGAGGGGCTTATTTATGAAATTAAAGATTTTTAAGAATAGCCACTAAATTTTACACAGCTTTTGCAGAACTGGGACATAGTAATGAGTTTAAAAAGCTGGAATTGTTAAAAGACTGCACATCAAACCTCGAGAAGTGGCCGAAGCCCATCGGGAACACGGAAACGATCGTTGCTCATACCCGTTTTTGACTGAAAATATTGAATATTGAATATTATTGAGAAAAAGGAAATGAATTTAACAAAAAGAAGAAGACACAATATAAAATTTGGACAAATTCGGTTAGAAAAAATTTTCAAAACATATTCCTTGCAATTGGTAAGAACTAATTGTCAAATTAGTTCTTACCAAAACCTTCACAAATACTAATTGTCAGTTTTAGGAGGTGGAGTTGTGGTTTATTTAAGGATTACGCCTTTGGCAGAAAATGAAAGGGATAAATTGGAAAAGTGAGCACCACATTTTTGCAAGTTTTCAGCCATTCTTCCCCATTTCATTGTTTACGTCATCCTCAGCGCTCGGGAGCCTCAAAATACATTGGACCTTCTTTCTCTTTTTCACTCCGAGTCGATTCAATCAAAAGAAAAAGCAGAGAAATGAGTCTCTCCCATTCACATTTGATTGATAAAAAGAGAAATTAATTAGCCCTTGGGAATTCCAAACAAAAGTGATCAATAACAAAGGATTTCTTTCCAGGCAATTTTATATGATGAAAGTTTTGGGCAAAAAGAATGATAAACTTTAAAAATTTTTAGCTCCGTGGTCTTTATAAAAGCTAAATTTCTCATACAAGTTTTGTAAAATAAATGAAAAACTGGAATTTTGCGCGCTGGGCGCCCACAAGCAAAATTATTAATTTCTCATCTTTATTCAAAAAAGAAATATTCAAGTCGATAACTGGGTAAAGAAAAGAGCTGAAAAAGGAGGTGAGTATTGATGGAAATAGAATCGACCTCTTCATCCCTCGAATACCTCTTTTCATCCTTTTCATTTCTTTTCACTCTTTGAGGTGAGAGAGGACTCACAAGAAAGGAAAAGCTAATTAATTTTATTCATTGTCTTTTCCCCATTCCTTGGCTCCCTCCTTTTCATTTTTCATTTGCTCTTTTCTAATCGCATTGTCTTTAAATAAGTGCTTTATCCCTAAGGGAATAAGCTAAACATTTTTCAAAAAAAAGTTTAAAGGTTAGCTCAAAAACTACAATAGCAACTACACTACTTTTGTTAAAATTACAAATATATAAACTTAATTTAAGGTAGTATAATAACAACAAGCTTTAGCTTTTTTTAAAGCTTATTATTACAGTTAATATCAAAACTTATTATCAAAACCGATTAACTTATTAACCAATAAAATTAGTCACGAAAATTTGTTACTTTAAATAAAGAAAAAGAAAATGAACTTCCGAGCCAAGCATTGATTATTGTTGTCGGAACATTAAACTTTGTTGCTTTCTTAAACCTAAAAAAAATGGGTGACAGCCGACCTTTCAATGAGAGAGAAGAGCAAAAAGATGTATGTCGATCAAAGGCAAAGGATCTAGGCTCAATGATCAAAGGAATTTATGAAAAAATGTAGTGGTTTCAATTTACAAGACTATTTTATCTCATATCTAATAAGCTAATAAATTAAAGCTGCAGGTAGTATTGTATGATTGTGATATGATTTTCACAAGTGATATGATTTTCAAATGTATTTAAAAGACAAGCAGCGACTTCATTTAATGTAAACAGATTATTGACGATAATGCTATTGCATAAAAAAGCTCAAAAGACGTATTTTACGGGCGTGAATGAAGTTTGAAGAGAAAATGGAGAAAAGAGGAAAATGTTTTGGGTTTCCCATTCCTTGGAATGCACCTTTTTACTCTTTTTTCTTTGCCTCACAAAGAAATGATTCCTTTCAAAAAAGATCATAGAGAATGTAAAAGAAAAGAGGAGATCTTTAAAGATCCAAATCTTTAAAGCCTAAATGAATAATTCTTGTTAACAGTTTAAGTATCATCGATGTACACACTATTAAGTTATTCCTCTTTTATTCACTTAGTGCAAAGCTACTTGCAAAATTTATAAGAAAATTTACCTAAAAAATATAAAAGAAATTATGAATGAATCTTAAAAAGTCATGGAAAGACAAATCAAGAAAAAAATATCAACCAAATTCGAAAGACTTTACCCCAAAGATTCGATTTGCCATTCAAGACCTTTCCGGGTCTTCAAAGCGAATAGAAAAACTAAACAAAAATCAGCTCGGATTCTTCGAGAAATGTTTTCTGAAAGAGTTTGACGTGTTTGTTGGGCCTTCTCGTTTTCTGCCTTTTCCAAAAAAGAACAGACGGAATCAATTAGACTTCGAACCAAAAAGAAAACGAGAAAGAAAAAGCTTTTATTTTAAGCCTCAAATCTGATGAGATTTAAAGAGTATACGAAAAGTTTGATAGATTAAAAGTTAATACATTATATTTTTGATTCAATTTGCAATTGAGTGAGGGCCAAACTTATCAAACAATACTTCCGCATTTATTGTATTCTCAAGCAGTTATGTAATCAATCTTTTCACAGTATAACTCAATCAAAAAGGCAAGATGGCGGTGGTGTGGGATTAGTTTTTGTCGATCTCTCTACTTTCTTTTTCCCATCCAAATATGGCCTCCTTGTTGATCTCTCTTCTCGTATCGAGTCTCCTGGAGACGAGAATAAAAAATTTCGCTCGACGAGTTGGTTATTATTAGTTAGGTCGAAAAGAGTGGGTGTTAAAGAAGATTTTGAAAATAACAGAGTACAAATCATAGTATTGAGATTTTGTAGTAGAGTCAACAACAAAGAGAGACGGTGTGATTTGAAAAGAGTAATTTGAATAAGCCATAAAAGCAAGCGATTTACCCGTACATTTGAAAATTGTTCTCAATTCAGAAATATTACAATGAAGTATTTTGTGCTTAAAACGTTGTTGTTTAAATTTAAATATTAGGTTGTTCAGAAAGTCTTTTGTTTCCTTTGTTTCCGTTAAAGAATAACATATTCACGAATTAACCTATGGTTTTCTCTAAATAAAAAGTGTTAATGGTTCAATTTCCCATCTTTGTCAGTCAATTTGGGTTCACTTTTAAGCAAATTCGAGAGTGAAAAATGTGTTTTTCGTAAAAATCTTTCAAAAAATCTTTCAATTTCTCTGAAAATTTGGCCAGATACCTAACTTTTTGTGCTCTATCTTTTATCTATTGACACGAAGATAGGTTTCCTTAGCTAAAGTGTCATCGCATCATCAAGCCGTCGCCCTTTTTGACTATCCGAATTCACGCTCCCCAAAAAATCCAGGCATAAGAGATTTTAAACCTGTTTTAATGTTATTTTGCAGAAAAATAATTGGTCTTTCTAATGAAACCAACCGCCGTTCAATTCGTGCATTTGTTGCTTTTAAACGGAAGGACGAAAACGAACAAAAAGATTTTCTGAACAACCTGACGGCCACAAAATCTGACGCGGAAATTCCAACGCGAGATTACCTTAATCTCTTTTAGATGTTCAGCAATAATTCACCAGGTTGGCGAGGCATTTTTATCGTTCTTTTCCAGGGAAGCATAGTCAAAGTAGAAAGATGGGGTTTTCAGAATGAAAATAGAAAAAAAAACAAAAAAGAAAATGAAAAACGGAGAGCTCCCCCCAATTATCTCGAGTCAACCAACAAAAAAAACGGGTCTCAACACTGAGAAAGAACAAAAATGGAAAGAGAAAAGATGGGAAAATTGCCTCAAATTCTCTAGGTTTGAATACCAGATTAGTTGTGGAGGAAAGAGGCAAATAGAATTGGAAATCAATTTGTTTGATTGAAAAGATAAAAAAAGTGTTAAGCACAAAAAATATAGGCAAATTTGGATGCAATCCAATACAATATTGGATCGTTATTTGTGAGTCGTTGCCACATGCATAAACGAAATTTTCCACAACATTACAGAAAAGTGAATGAAGACATTTGAAATGAACTACAAATACGCAAGATTTGCAGCAATACTAACAAGAAAAAGTGAGAGTATCCGATCTAAATGGATTTACTCAAGCTTTGAGAAGAAAAAGAAGAAGAAAATTGTGGGGAAATCCGTAGAATCGAGAAAGAGATGGATGGAGTGCGTCATATGAAAAGAGGATGGAAAAGTGAAGAAGAGGCCACACTCTTTTTGAGTTGTTTGCTTTTTTTTATCCCACTCATTTCAGAGCTTTGAAGTTTTTTATTTTATACTCATAGATGATAATCAAAATATCTGGATAAAAGAATTGAAAACACAAAAAAAAAATTCATGCGTCCCGAGGTTTGTCTCGGTTTGTTTCTAAAATTAGATTAATGTGGTTTATGTCTAATCAATGTCTAATCAATGTCTAATCAATGTCTAATCAATGTCTAATTGAATCAGCATAAAAATTTGTTCTAAATGTTGGCAAGTTCCAGACAAATAATTAATTTATAACTTGAAGTATTCAGTTAGAAAGTGAAAGATTTATGATCACGTGCATGGTAATGGCCAGTACTTGTTTTCGAAACGAAAAAACGGAAGTAATAAACTATGGCAAAGGTTAAAAGAATCATTCTTAATATTAAGATTACAAGAAGATTTTAACAAGAATAAACTAAAAAAAAAACTTTTTTTTACTCAAAAAGATCAGCAGGGGCCAAACATTCATTTTCTATGCCTCACAGAAGATATCGGATTTCCCCGCTTTTTCCCATTTTTCTAAAACCTCCCCTATTTGACGAGTGTGCCTTAATGTATTTTGAGGAATCAGTTTAAAATAAGAAAATGACATCCAAAGCCAAAGAACCGAATAATATAGCCAAACAACCAAAAACAACGCATATTTTTTTCTTGGTTCTATTATGTATCAAAATCATATAAGACTAGTTCTCAGAAATTGTGGCAACTTTTTTGAAACTCAACTTTCCAATATGTAAAACCACCTGGGTTCTCATAGAAAAACGAATAATTGGGAAAATGGCTGTGGAAACACAAAAAGGCTCTTTACGAGTTGTCTCACATATTGTTGAAATTGAAAACAATTGAAGACAAATGTTTAAGATTTAAAAATAGTTTATTACACATTTTTTATTATCACAGCTTATTAATGTAGGTCTTAGCATCTCAACTTAATCATCTCCATTCTCAAAGTCAAGTGGTTTCCATCCAGGCAAGAAATAGTCCTTGTCTTCTTTTTGGTTAAGATAGTCTTGAGACTTGGCGAACTTTTTGTTGTAGAAGACCTAAATCTTTTAGTGTCAAGTAAGTATAGGCAAGCGTAAGTGTTATTTTGATACCTGAACTCCTGGACGTTGCATTTGAGCGAAGTAAGCAGCCCACCACCCGGAAGTTGACGATGAAGCTAGAATTTTAGTCACATTTGAATTGAACTTACCCCCCATTAGACTTGATGTATTGATTGACTTGATTAGGTTGCACAGAAAGTTTCTGGGAGTTTTTGAAGTGCTATTTCTTAAAAACTAAACCACTAATTGAAGTACACTTTGTTTTATTACTTATAAATATGTTCTGAAAAATTAATAGTGAAAAATGAGTGCAACGTTGAGGTAAAATAGTTGAGATTTTGGCAAAATTGTTGTTTTCCAGCTCAACCTCAGCTCAGTTTTTTCACGACAAAACCGATTCCACATGGGACAAAACCAACTTTGTTAATAATTGCAGTCTGTAATCTATTTTTTTAGCTATATAGTTTTTGTTAAAGCTGTATATCGAAAATTTTTGGAGTTTCCACTCAAACACAAAATGTTCATAAGAAGCGATCATTCTAGAAAATTAAACCTTTTCCTAAAATTCTGCTTCATTAAAAATTTAAATAGGTATAAGTAGTTTATATTCTTTTTTAAATGAGATTAATTCCATAGCATTTAAGCTATTAAAAGATTGCTTGAAGTTGGCCACTCAATAAGTGACTGATTGTCTTCAGATAAAGAAATATCTAGTGTCTTAGTTCAAGTACGTGCTGATTTTTTGGTAACAACTTTGAAATATAGTAAAGCTCATTTGAAAAGTTTGGTTGGAATTCATGGACTAGCTTTTGAGAAATGATGGCTCGAAAAACTTCCAGGGACTTTGTGTTCAATCTAATAATTAGTAACTGATAGCAATTTCACTACCTGATAGGACAACTTTGTGACAATGTTTTCTGAAGAAGAACCAAGTAGCAACGTCTGGGATGCCTTCTTTGTCAGCAATGGTAATTCTCTGGAATTTCCTGCGGAGAGCGGGCAATTGATCCTTCAACCAATGCACATCGTCACCAAACAGGATGATTTGTGCTAAAATTGTTCTCTCAAGTATTGGAACCATAATGGAACCATAATGGAACCATATTGGAACCATAATGGAACCATATTGGAACCATATTGGAACCATATTGGAACCATTTTAAACTTTTTTCAGTCAATCCTTACCTTTGGGATTTCTGAAGTGTTCCACTGTGCGGTCAAGGAATTTTTTGGTGGTTGCTTGATGGTAGTTTCCGAGAAAACTGCCACGTTTGGTGTGAATACAAATTCTGAAACACATCATATTTTTGCCAGTAAAATTTGCATGTGATTATTTTAAAATTTCACCTTTGTTGTCCTGGCTGCAAAACTGATTTTGGAACAAGTGCTTCGGACATCTTTGTGAAAGCAGGAGCATCTTAATTAAATTTGCATACCAAAAAAAATTAATGCTTTACTTGTCAAAAGTTTCTGATTGAGTTCTCTTCGATAAGGATAGAAGTATTTGTAGCTCTGAAATTTCAATACATAAAGACTATGAAAATCCTTATTGTTGCCCCTGCAGCTACAGTTGTCAATCCTTTCAACCCACTAGTTTACGCCATACAGAAGTACAGCAATATAAGCAATACATACTTGTAAATATCCTCCATTGAATCGAGCCACCTTCTTCTTGTTATCCCTCAAAGCTTTTGTTGGTTCCACATATTTACAGCATGGACTGATTCCAAGATCATCGTTACCCTCTTTCCAGAAAGTTTTGTTCTTAACACGGTTATTCATTTTTTTTCCAAATGCTATTTACATTGTAAATATTTTGATTGTCAATCATGTGAGCAGGAACTAATTGAGGAAAATAGCTGGCGATTGTCCAAAGTGATGATTCGGAGACTCCATTGAAATATGGAGCACGAAGTGCAAATACTGGGCGTCTAAATGAGAAGGGATAAAGGATATAAAGAGGCAAATATGCAATTCACGTGCTAAATATGTACCTGCGCAGTTTTCTAGCAACTCCGAGAGTTGACATCACAGCAAAGAGTTCATTTCCGATACCACCTCCAGCTTCGAAAGCAGAACTTCTTGCCAAGAGAACTCGAGAATTTCCAAGGGGATTTCCAAAGCCTTCATTTGGATTAAACCTCTTGGAATGCTTCTTTTTCTTACACCTAAATATTTGAATATAAGCAGATTTTCTATTTTCTGTCGGGCCTCCTAAACTGAGAAAACCCTGAATGACTTGAAATAGTGCATTGTATGAACAAATAAACCAACCATATTGTATCAACAAACAATAAAGCAATGAATAATAGTCCAAAGGTGGTAGAGAGCTTCATCGGACGAATAGGATGTCAGAAGATGAACACTGAGATCTCCTCTAATCTTACCCTCTGATCAGGACAGCACAAGGAGGGACGAGACGATAAGAGATTTAGAGTTCTCGGACTGAAATTCTTCTAATGAGATGAGCAAAAGGGGGCAAAAAACAAACCTGATAGGGACGACGGAGGATATTTTTTGATGGCTTTCGAAAGAAAAGACCTAAAGTGATCCGTAGAAGTTTAAAAAAAAGAAAAACTTTGGAAAATGATTAAAGCCCATTCATTTTTTTCAGATGTGCTCTGATCCTTAAATTTTTGTAGCAAAAACTTTCTTCAAGAATCTTTTAATTTGCTTTTAATTTTAATATCAGAACAAACATAAGTTAAGCTTTAGACACTAATTATATACGGCCCTCTAACAGATTAAAATCTTGAAATGCCCATCCTGTTTCCTAGTTGTATCTCCAAATCGTTTTCCTTTGGATACAATGATTTCAGGGAATTGACCTGGGCTAAGAATTTCGATCCAGTCGCCGAAATTCCGTAAAATGATCCACCGCCTTTGAAATAAAACCAAACTTTTTAATTGACCGACTTAGGCCATAGTTTTGGTTCTCTCTGAACTTGGCTACTAATATATCGATGATTCTCAATAAAACGATGTATACTTTATCGACAAGTTACCCTTTTGGTCAATTTATAACAGCGGCACGATAATCTTAAATGATCTGTAAACAATACTTATCGAGTTGTATTGATTTTGACTAATGGCGTGAATAATAGATTTTCCCAGTAAAATCTGCCTAAAATTTTAGTTTTTAGAGGTTTCAAGGCTTCATTGATAATACATATTACAGTGAAATGCACAGCAATTAAAACTTGTCTTGAAACCGACCTAAGAACTTTCCAGCATTGAGCTTCAGTCCATTTAGTTTACGGCGTTTGTTTCAGCTTGAAAGGGTAAAACCAATGCAGATTGCCTTTTTACTTGCTGAAGTTGATCTAAACACACTTCATCTGTGTGCTCTTTCTGTCGAGGCCTGGGTATTTTGTTACCAAACAGAGTTGCGATCGTTAGCACCATCTAACAACTATAGGTTTTATTTCACTTTTTTGAAACATGTAAGCTTCTGGAAGTCAACAAAGTTTTAGAGAAGCGAATTTTAATTGATGGATCCTTCACAAAAGAATTCTCTTCAATGATACAATCGAACATTCAGCAGATCAACATAAAACCATCAAAATTCAAATAGAAACCCAATGTTTTAAAACAAGTTTACGAACCGAAAAAAAAGTAGCGATGAAGGAAATTTGATGGATATCGATAAGAGACACTCAATGTTCTTTCAAAATATTCGTCGATTCAAGCAACTAAAAATCAGGGACACATGGAGAGCTCAAGGATGTCCCTCTTCCGATTTCACTAAATTTATTCCCAATGTTGCCTACAAATTGAGACACACAATATGAAATATGGACGCGATTTGTCGAAGTTTAACCGTTACTTCTTGTCTTTTTTTAACAACCAAGACTTTTTCCTTGGGTTACACAAAAACGGAGCACGAGCAGCTCATGGAATGGCTTGAGCGAGATGCAAATAGCAAATAATTAGTTTCAACCATTCCTTAGTTGACAGCTACAAAGCCACCCATATGTGTATTCCGTGGAAGGTTTTATGAGATACGTGAATTTGTTGGGAAATAGCGTAATTCCAAGTCAATATACACGACCAAGCGTCTCCCTGCTAGGGAACAGCTGAGGAGCTGTTCAACGAACTCAAGTTTTCCCTACTCAACTCTAATAACATTGTCGAATGGCCCGAACTGGTTGAACATTTTGAATTCATCTTCCAAACTTCCAGGTCTGGCCCGAGAAAAGCCGTTTTTCGTAGGAATATCTCACCTGCAGTAAAAGAATTATTTGGGCTGATTAGCCCGAATTTTATTATTAGTTTTTACGCGACTCGCCTTTAATTTATTTCCAGAAAGTTTTAAAAACAATATAAAATATTTTTCCTTTTGCATTTACTCAACAACTCTTTAACAGCCCCAAATGATAGCCCCAAATCGATTCAAAGCAATACATTTTGGGAAATACTAATACTGAATACAAAAGGTTTGATGTTTTAACATTTGTTTTTTATTTTTCCCAATGATTTGTAAACTTAATTGTAAACTTCTACAAGAATCTTTTAATTTCCCATTTGATTTATTCAGTACTTTAATGTACTTTAGCTAAAATGATAAAGTTGCTACCAAAAGAACTTTATAAATCATTACAGATCAGAGCTTGGACGATCTGTCTCTTGGAAGTTTAAAGTGTCAATAGTACTTCAGTACTTCAGGGAGTACATCTTATGTATCATAAACAAGCATTTTTTGGCTTCACAAAAAGTGAACCCGTTTTCTTCGTATCGTTTTCTCTTGTGGAGTGACGGACTTCAAGGACTGACCTCGGCTACAAAAAAGAAATTTCGATCCAAGCACAGTGGAACAACCTGAATTTTTTTTTGCTTTGTAGACTTGCGACTTAACGGGTCGACATTTCAGGGACTAATTTTAAAAAGTAAATTGCACATTCTAACAGGTGTTTTCTGCCACTTTAAAAATTTTAAAGATTATAAGCTGTAAAGATATTACAGAAATCAGCAACAAAGAAAGAGTTTACAAGTTGTGTTTACATTTATAATGGTTCTTGGCAGCAGATTTTTGTGCAATGTACGCAGAAACAGAAGAAAATGTAAAATTGTTTATTCGAACTTGCTACTTGGATGCTAGAATGTACCTAATAGCAGGAATAAGCTAAACTCTGGATTGACAAAAATGCAAAGAAACTTTTTACGATGAATTTCTTTGATAAATAATCCTCTAAACATTTGAAAACGTTCAAAATAATTTCTCTTTTTCTTCGCTCAAATTCTCAGCGATGGTGGGTGGAGTGACTCCAAATTTGGGCACAAGAATTCTCGAAAGAAAGAGAAAGAGAGGATTTCTTTCTGCTTTTTCCCCTTTCTTTCTCATCTCGAGACTCTCCATTGGTGAGTGAAGGGAAAAGGAAAAGGGGGAACATCGATTGGGGCCTTTGGGCCATCCCTCCCACCAACTGGCTCTCTTTAAGAAAGAAAGAGAAGGGCCGAGCCCCGAGGCACCCTATAGTTGTGAATGTCGCTTTTCTCTCTATTTTCGATTCTCTCGTTGCCTCAATCTCTTCACCTAGTTATGGTTATGGCTAGAAGCTTTTCTTTGTTTTATCTCTCCAGCATGGTGTGTCCCACACGATGAAATGAGGACTCTAATGCTTTTGAATCTGCGCTACTCAAATGGATGAACTCTATAGCTAGAGGTCTTAGTCAACACTTTTATTCTTTTCTGTAGTCTAAAACCTCTCCACATCATCAAATAAGCGTCAATCCCTCTGGGTACCTCTTGGCTTGTTTGCCTGTGTCTCCTCCTTGTTTCCATTTCCCATTCAGCAGTTTCAATTCCCTTTTCTCTCACCAAACCTCTTTTCTTTTTTTCTTTAATTTCTCTTGGGTCTTCCCCCATTTTCAACTCTTTCTATCCCCTCAGGCCTCCCAAATCCATATCCCCTTCTCGTCTCATTTCTCTCAACACACCAACTGACGAGGAAAGAGATGAACGCCCCTCTTCCCACCTCGTTCCTGTTAAAGTACGAATCCAGCTCTCTCAATTCGGTTTATATCTTATTTTTCTATGCTTCTTGCTTTTTGAGTACTCATTTCTCGGTAGAACGATCATTCAAACACTAATCGCAAAGAAAAAATAGATAGCAAGCAATGTATTTTTGACAAGAGCCTTTTTATGTCTTTCTTTAACTTTAAGTATTTTTCGACGATTTTTTCATATTTTTATCTAACTTACATTATTGGGCTTAATCTTTTAAGGTCATTTTGGAGTATTCACTCGATTCGAATACTAATGGCTCGGGTCGGATTTGATGAACTCGATGATTCGAGGAATTTTAGCTGAGAACCAGTAGTCTATGTCATGCATAGAGTATGACGAATTTATTAGGTATTAGATCCTTTTATTTAGTATGCAAAATCTCCTTCAAACGAACCATCTATGGTTGCAAATGTCGGGCAAAGGAAGCTCGGAATAGAAAAAAACCGGCTCTATGCGAGCACACCGACTACTCGATAAGGTTATGCTCTTCTCTTCTAAACAATCCATATTCACAAAACAGCCATAAAGGATGGCTTTCTTTCTGCATGAACAACGATTGCTACCACAATGTATCTTAGTACTTCTCTTAAATTTACCCATAGAAAAAGCTCGCTTACAACGGCAAATTAACTATCACCAACCCATTGAAACTCATCCAAAATTTGTCTATTTTATCGAACATATATGCGAATAATAAATCCTTCTATTGGCACAACCATAAATTACCCCTTTCTTCTCCGAAAAATGATTTTTATTTTCCTTCAAGAATTGGGGTTTTGAAAGGATAATTTAGTTTATTTTACGTTCCCAATCAATCTTCTCTTTTTTACAATTTAAAAATTAATTTCTTGTGAGGTGAACTCAATGGTTACTGAATACGGGCCAAGAATGGGTCACGTGAGAGATGGGGAGTGAGGAAAAGAAATTGTGGAGAAAAGAAGGAAAAGGGGAGATCAATGAGTCCTAGGCAATGAGGCTACAATAGTTAGAAGAACCAGCTTATGCTTTCTTGCCTTATAAATGCATTGGTGAAAATCAACCAGTTTCAGCTAAAATAAAAATAATCCCTGGTCAGTTTTACTTATCTGGCAATTTTACAAATTTACTTAACTACAATATATTTGGGGATGCAAAACTTTCTTGCATTTATACCACCCGAATTAATTGCTACTACTATTGGCAAAGACAAATCTTAAGATCAAGACAATCTTAACCTTTAGCCATATTTTAATCTGCAAAACCGAAGGCTCTATTCTAAGCATACCATCAGTTTGCTCGTTCTTTAACTTGTTCAGTCATCATTACATTTTTTTAAACTTGAGATTTTCAGTGAAATTTTTAACTTTTTATTGTTAGTGTGCATGTGTTCGAATTTGGGGAGTTCATTAATGTAGGACCGACGAGGAAAAGGAGTTCGAAGCCCCTTTTTGCTTTCTCTTTTCAATGGGGCTCTACACGTTCATCAAAATTCCATATATATATGTGCACAGACCAGGCAAAAAGAGAAGACAATACACCCCTGTTTCCCATCCATTCACTTCCATCCCTCCCCTCATTGACTCTTCTCTCATCCCTCCATCCAACTCTTTTTCCTTTTGCGTGCCCTTCTCTGTCGATAGCCTGTAAATCCCTCTCTCATTGACAAACACATGCATATGCGGTAACTTCTTGTCTTTGTCTCTTTATCCAAGTTAACAGTTAACTGTTCAATGACCTTTAGGAACATAATATCTACAATTTCTTTTGTTGGGCTGTCAAAAATTTTTGACAGCTCAACCCCTGAAAAGGAGTCACTAGTGATATTTTTTTTTAAAGTTTTCTTTATTGGGTAGATTGCAACGACTTATTTGATTCCTTTTGCATTCTATTTTTTTTCACAATTTCCTATGACTACGTAATTTCAGAATTCAAATCGACAAAGCCCAGCTGGCCCTGGCTCGATTAGGTGGGAGATATTAAACTTTAGTTAGGATAATATGTACCATTTATTTCTTATTTTTTTAGTTTACCTAATTTTTGTAATTTTTTAGATAGTCACCGATTCCTAGATGGACTTAGAACGATCACTGGCCAATATGGCCATCGATGAGGGACCGTGGAGGCAAGATGTTAATGCTGCCCAAGTGAGTAACGCAGTTAGCTTTATTTCAATGTAATATTTTAAACTAGCATACATACTTTGCATAGGCTTTGATCTACAGACTTAGCATACTCATAGAAAAGCAAGGCTAGAGTATGCGCTGGTCGCCTAGTTGATCAGTGTTCACTTTCCCCTACTCACCCTTCCCGCCCTCGTCCCCCCTCTGTGTCCCTGTCGATTTCTCCTCTCCTATCAATCGCTTGAAACGCCAAAACGTGCTGTGAAATGGGAAAAGAGAAAAGAAAAAGAGACGAGCCGTGTCGATCGACAGGGAATTGAAGGGAGATGGGGGAATAGGAGAAGGAAAGTGAAGGACTGTGCGCGTTGCGGTCGCCTCCCCGAAACACGCACAATTCACTGAGGAGAAGCATCCCCACTTACGCTTAAATAATTCAAAATATCAACTGCATGATCTCCTGTCCTAATCTTATTCATTAAATGAGACCAGAAGGTCTAAATATGATTCCCGCACAACCATTCTCTACAATTCCCTTAACTTCAAATCCACATCAACCATTCGTTGTCAATCACCTACCACCAAGCCCGGTTCGATTTTTGAGTGCTGTAATAGCTATTGACAATATATTTGAATAATAAATACAACCGAGAATCACATAACTTAGCAAAAAACCTGAAAGCTTGATCATATAAAGTTTTTCAATTAAGCCAGTATAATCGTGGCGGAAAACTTACCAAAACAACTTTGTCTGATCTGTAAAGAAAATGCAAAAGCTATAAATAAAGCCGATACCCACAAAGTGGTGATTTTTCAAACAGCTGTTAGCCGGATTAGGATCGATCAAAGTTTTTACTCTTCTTTTCTTAAAAGTGTAACGGGCTAATAAATCTTGTATTCGAGGGACCGATATCATGTTTGAATAAAACTTTGAAACGATAATATTTATTTTTCCGGATTTCCCATTTTTCGTTATTTCTATAGACAGTTAGTGTTAAAGACAGTGACTACTAGTATTTTATCCCTATATTTTGCGCTCTAAATAAGTAATATATTTATAGCTTGCTTGCTCCAGTTCCTCTTTCAATCGCTACCCCCTTTTCGCTCACAAATTCAATCGATTTCCAATGTTGTCCGCCTTTCTCTCTTCTCTCCTCTCAAAATGAAAAGAAGGGCCGATCTCTCTTGATTCTTTTTTCTCTTCCCTTTTCTCTATACAGGTCGAAAATTGCTATCCCGTCTCTCAGTCCTTTGGATCTCATCTATTTCACCCGTATTTCAGCCATTTTTGCTAGTAATTTATTGGTTGTCATTTCAAGTTGATCACTGGAACCGATGAATAGGGTAACGTGTCGTAAGTAGGAAAGTCTGTCAACTCTTAAACAAAAATAAATAACCGTTAACTTACTTGAACCTGTATCTTCAGGGTTGGCCAAGCCAAGGAGCAGGCCCTTCCACAGCAAATTGGGGTCATGTCTCACCTGCACCTGGACGAAACCCATGGCAAGATCCCAATCAATTAGGTAAGCCAAAAATTTACTCGGTCTAAAAAGTAAGATCTACACAAATCTGTTTTATAAACGTGCTAACAATATAAACAGTAACTAGCGGTTTAGGCCAAGTCGCTGAATTGCCGATGGGTGCAATGCCAACAGGAACATGGGCTGGTCCTCCCCAAGGCGGTGGAACACCCGATGATTTTGGGAAACAATTCTGGCAACAAGACCCTTCAATGATGGAAGCACCACAACCGTTCCAAGTCCCACCCATGCATCCACAAAGTGGGCGATCATTCTGTAGATTAGCTTGAGGAAATTGAAGTGTTTTCAGAAAACTGGCTAGGGTTGTCTTTAGAACTATTAAAAGGTATTTTGTTAAGAAAAAAGTATGTCAAGTTGAATTAAAAAACTAGAATATGTGGGCAAAGCCATTCCAGTATCGAATCTTAACAAAAAACTTCAGTGGCCGGCGTGAATGGCATGGTCGATGGAATGGGTGGAGATTTCATGAGAGGACCGGAACCAATGTGGGATATGACAGGACAACAACCAATGAAACAAGAAGAATTATGGAAACAACAGCAAGGAGGACAATGGATGCCAAATGGTAGAGGATGGCCACCGCAAGGACATCAAATGCATCTAAGACAAGGACCTCCACCAATGAGAGGGCCACCAATGAACGGACTGCCCGGTTAGTGAAAAGAGAACTGAAAAGTGACGAGAAAATAAAAATCAAGTGCGCAAAACATTATAATTTGCCTTAAATTTCGTCATCTTTGAATAAACAGACAATAAATTTAGAAGGTTTTGCATTTTCGCAACAATAAATTGAAAAGAAAATAAACGGTTTGCAATTTGCTATAAATACTCTTGTTAACAAACAAATTCAAGTCTTTTAAACAATAAAACGAACAATTTAGGTAACGGCTGGCCACCACAAGGAATGATGCCTGGACCAGGAATGACTCCGCCACAAGGAATGGGCTGGACACCACAACCTGGACCTCCACAAGGACCTCCTGGAGGTGGAGGAAGGGGTGGAATGCAACCAAGACCACCCGGTGGACCACAAAACAGACGCTATCCTGATGTATCCGTCCCACCACCCATCGATATTCCAGTTAGTGTTTATGAGGTATATCGCTCCCCAAAACACAGCTTTAAGGATCTTTTGTAAAATGATACAAGTCCACTTGAGAACTTAGCTATTTTTGCAGTTTGGCAAATATGAGTATATCTAATAATACATTTTAATTTTCAAGGCTCATCACTCAAATTTTAGTTCCACGGTCAAATGGGTATGCGAGGCGGTCCACCACCGAATAACCCACCAATGTGGAAAGAACCAGTGCCCGGAAGTGGCGGAATGAGAAATCCCCAATTCACTCCCGATAACCGTACGAAAGCAAAAGTTGTGTCAGATAAAGAGTGATTTACAGAATTCCAAATGCCGCAAGAGTTCGGGAGTCCATTCGGTGGAAGTGGAAAACCCCAAGGTGGAATTGGACAATTTGTCGCAGGACAACCTGGTAGTGGAGGACCTCCACCAACAGATGATCTGATGTGGCATGATCCAAATGGTGAATTGAAGAAATGGCAAAGGGATACGGGCGTCAACATCTGGGGAGATCCCGATAAAGCATGTGAGTTTTTTAGAAACATGATATCAACATAAATTAAAGATCAAAAAATTTTCTTTTGCTAATGTATCGAAGATTAACTCGCACCTCATTGTCAGTTATTCTTGAAAATAAACAACTTTTAGCTCAACGAGCGGTGAAATTGTGGAAAGTAGAGGAAGGAACAGAAGAAGACTATGAAATGGCTCTACAAAAATGTCCAGTGCCCAGAAAAGTGAGCTTTATAACAAATGAAAATAAATAACAAAGACTTAAGATAACAAAAACAAATGTTTGATTCAACAAATTCTTTTCTAGACGGACAACGATTCTCCAAGAATATCATCGGCTGGCGCTCAAGCAAAACGAACAATTGTCCCAACGGGATGGGGAGATCTTCCGGATAATGATCCAAACAAAAAGACCGATGATCACCAATGGGCTGAAAACCTTGGATTGGGATCATCTCATCAATCAGGGCAATCTGGAGAGCCACAAAATAACTGGAGTACCTTTATTCCTCAACAACCATTCTCTGCTGATCCAACATGGTCCATTGGTTGGTTATTTATTCTTATTCACAACGCTTAAGTGTCTTATCAGACTACTTTAGAAGTTCTATTTTTAAGTTTATTAGTCGACATTCAGGGGCAAATGGTCCATCTGGTGGCCATATCGAAAACATCGCCGAGAAGTTGAGGGTAGCAGTTGAAAAAGGGTTCCTCGATCTCTCTAACCTACAACTCAAACAACTTCCACCAGCAGTAATCTTTGAGCCTTAAATTTTAAATTCACATTGATCTTCAGGTTTTGCCCCAAATCAACAGTTTGCTCACAAAATTGCCTGAGTTTGAGATGGTTGAGAAAGAAATGGGAGATCTTATTGAAGGAAGTCGACCTGAAGGGCAAGATGTTCCACCAAATAGTCCAAAGCATTTTATGTCCGAAATGCAGAAGGTGGTTTTAAGAGAAGAAAGCAAAATAAGTCACATATTATGATTGGAAGAGCACAGCTTGGCTTAATTTCAAAGAATAAAGGGCTTTAACCAATCTTTTTAGATGGAATACGATCGTTTGATGATCCAGGTGACCACCCTGAAAATCGAATTGGGCGAAATGAGCAAAAAGATCCGACGACAATTGAATGATTCGGGAATTCAGCCAGCAGTCGAACAACAATTTGGCTCCGAACCCTATTATCCTTTCCTTGATGAAAGTCATTAACTCATATGATATTCGGCCAACAATCCTACCTAGCCAGTCTCCCAAATCCCGTGTTGAGGCCCCGTACTGTCATCGAAATAGAAAAGTTAAGGAAAATGGAACTGAAACCAAATTATCAGAGAATTCAGTTTTGTTCAGTTTTATTTTGTTCAACTCTTCCTTTGCAATATTGAGTCACCCTTTCTTGTAAGTACAATCTTGTCGTCCACAAAATGGAATATCTCTTCAAAATACGGTCCATATGCAAATTTTGTGCTTTTTTGAGGAAACCCAAATCTGAGCTCTTTTTGATTTTTGTTTTCGTATAGAAAACGATTGCTTTTAGTTGTGTGGATAGAAATGCTTTTTCTTTTTTCCTTTGGCAAATTGTACGACTCAAGTACGGAGAGTGTGATTGATAGAATGTGTCTGCCGATTGATTCTTTCTTTATCTAAACATCCAATCTTTCAGGAAATGAGTCAAGGTTAGGCCTGGAATAACAAATAACAAAAAGCGTAATATGCATATCTAAAATGACCAATTCCCAGCCAAATCCCAGCTCATTTCTTTTTTTTCTCTACCCAGCCAGCAAAAAACGATGGTCATGAAACTGGTCCATTTTCAATTCATCTTGCACTTGTTTCCATTTATTTTTGTGAGCATCCGCTTTATCTCTGTCTATTCTTTTAATCCAAATAGAGTTTTCTTCTTTTTGTGATCAATTTCCTTCAATTTTTCTCCTCAAAATTCACTAAGCCCTTCTTCCAATTAAGTGATGTCATATTGCTACAGTTCATCTTTCACAATTTTTCCACCAAAATTTGCCACCAACTTTATTTTAGGGTCGACGATATCCAGGCCGTGCGTGTGTAGTATTCGAGCGAGAGTTCTTTCAAAAGTCAATTTCATTCGGAAAAGGTCCCCGTTTTTGCATGAGTTTCCCCTCAAGAATTTCCCAATTTTAAAAAAAATCTAAAAGTTACCTAGCTTTATACTAATTTCATGAAGATAACGAGGTAACAAAGGCTGCGTGTGGAGAATTGTAGGTTCTGCCTACTAAGTTTAGTTTAGATTCTCAAGTCAAACCTGCACAGCTTTTCAGCGCTTTCGATATATTCAACCAATTCTACCAAGCAGCTCGTTAACTCGTTTCATCATACCCAAATCCCTATTGATTTTATATTTCCCTCGCATTTCTATATGTGACCCCTTAATGCCTCAAGAGGATCTTGTCTCCTTTTTCATAAAAACGTGTAGCAATCAACTCCCAAAAATGCTCCAACACAATTAATTTCATTTACCAAAGACAGATTTTTGATTGAATCTATTCACTCAACAATTTGTCTTCTATAAATGACCTCTTCTTCTCCAACTCGTGCTCTTCTCCAACTTCTAAATACTCGTTTGTGATTCCCAAAACAAGCCAATTTTTGTCAGATTCCCTTCTAGATAATCCGCATTTCATTTCTGGGTTTCTCCATTCTGGTCCATATTTGTTTTTGATTAGAAATTTCTCCATTTCTCTATAAACGGTTTACATTTTATCTGCCATTTCAATTTCACATTTTCGATTTTGTCCAATCTTCATGGTAAAATCTCTTAACATGGCAAGACGGATTCAGGTTTTCCACATCTCCTCATTCATCTTTTTACTTTCTATCGTCACTAGCCTTAGTTTATGCGATTAGAGGGTCAAAATTTGAGTCAATATTTTTATGAACAAATCTTCGATAGTTTGATCGTTCAATTATTTCCTTGTCTGGTTCCTACCGTAAACGAGTGTTTCTGAAGATCTTCACGCAGCCAATTTCAATTTTTTTCTCAACTTCTTTCTCTTAGATTTTGTTTTTATTGAAACTCTTCTCGTTTCGTCTCACGAAACACGTCCGCCTGTGAATTCGAATTTTCTTTTCATATTATTTTGTGCATTTTTGTTCTCCTCGTTTCCCCATCTAACAAAAACGTACTTCAAAACGCTTTGTTCGTTTTTATTTTGTGCTTTTTCAGTGTGTGAATTTTCTGGAATTCAACTTGTGATAAAGCTGTGAATTAAAAAGAAGTTTTGTTACACACCATAAAGATAACAACAATGTGATCAAATTTTTAAAAGTTATATAGCAGGCAAGTTATTGTATAATAATTTTTGTACTGCCATAAAATCTAATTTTGAATTTTACACTGCAATTATTAGTTTTATTTTACATTTATGCCCTTTCTCGTGTGCAATTGTTGGATGGATCACTGATCTCAATAGGGCAAATCACGCGAGACCACCGATCGAATCGCCGATGAGCCAAAGGGTAAAAGAGAGTCGCTGTTTGTGTGTTCTCCAATTTTTTCTTTTTCTCACTTTTCTCATCTTCATTTTCCCTTCTCTTTTCTGTTGTTTTCCTTTCCCCATTTCCCATTTCCAACGGTGAAGGGCAGGGTCAATCTCTTCTCTCCAATCCTTCCCTCTTCTTTCCATTTGGTATTTAAATCGATCTTCCCGATCAGGCAACAAAAAGGTGTTATTTTTTTCTTGCCCTTGCTCGGGTGATCGGACGATAAAATGTTTGCCCAACCGGCACAATTCAACCACAATTAAAAAGCATCAAATTTTTTTTGTTTACCAGTTTTGAACAAATTTTCCGATCTTTATAAATCCTACCTTACTTATTCTAGGCTCAGCAAAATTTGAAAAATTCATTTCTAAAATAAAGCTTCAGTAGAAATGTTTTTGTTTTTTTTGAAATTTCTTATCTTTTCTGCCCATGCTTTTTACTCCAATCCAATCCATTCCACTCACTTTTTCTTTCAAGATTCGCATTTAGTAAACAATCATTTCTTTTTTTTTGCTTTACTCTAAAGATTTTAAACTAACGCTTTTGTTTTCTTTTACTAGTTGATAGCTATTTTCAGGTTAGGTAGTTCATCATAATGTCGGACCACAATCAATATGGTTTCGAGACAGATGCAATGACTTTGCAACGATTCATTCTCCAGGCAAGTAAAACAAAAATTTCGAAGAATTTTTACTTCATTCTTTTTAAATATTTACTTTGTATTCTAGGAACAAGAAAAACACCCAGAAGCATCGGGAGAGTTCACCCATTTGATGACAGCGATGTTGGTGGCTGTCAAGGCTATCGCATCCGCCACTCAGAAAGCTGGATTGGCTAAATTGTAAATAAAGAAATAATCCTTTGAAAAGAATTCATTGTCTAGGTATGGAATTGCTGGTTCAACGAATGTTCAAGGAGAAGAAGTGAAGAAATTGGATATACTCTCGAATGAATTGATGATCAATATGTTGAAGGCATCAACTGAGACATGTTTGCTAGTCTCTGAAGAAAACGATGAATTGATTACCGTAAGCAAAATTTTATTAGTTTCCAAAATAAATATCACTGATTGAAATAATAAGTAATTTATAAAGCCGACAATATCACTTGAACATCTAGGTGGAAGAAAGACGTCGAGGCAACTACATTGTGTGTTTTGATCCCCTCGATGGATCATCAAACATCGATTCATTGATTTCAATTGGAACCATTTTTGGAATCTTTAAGAGGGTAAAAATAATTAAAAATTCTGGTAGTAATAGAAATTAGACTTCGACTGTTGGTGATCCAAACGAAACTGATGTTCTTCGACCAGGCAAAGAAATGGTTGCTGCCGGATATGCACTTTATGGATCGGCTACTATGGTTGTGCTTTCATTGGGTGATGGAGTCAATGGGTTTACTCTTGATCCGGTAAGATTTCCCGAAAAGAAAAAGCTTACCACTTTGCAGTCGATTGGAGAGTTCATTCTCACTCATCGCAACATGAAATGCAAACCAAAGGGAAGTACCTACTCGTTAAATGAAGGATATGCAGCGACATGGAGTAAGGGAATCGCTCAATACATCAACGACCGCAAATTTCCACCGGCGGGCAAGAAAGTGCGTAAAATGTGCAGACTTTCTGTTAACACATTCACGACAAAGCCATTTTTGGCTTGGCTGCCGTTTCGGAGCTATCTATGTTAGCTGTAGACCTGAAAATTTGTAACCGGAGGCATTCTGGGACGGAGAATCTGAATCCGTTATTAGTTTTTGAACAACTTAAATTTCCGAGCCAATGTGGTCATCACAAAACTCTCTAAAACTTGAGTAATTAAACCAAATTGGAGAGAAAAAGGCGAAATTGAATTTAGATTTTGTCCTTTATCCCCCGAGGCCGTGCGAAAATTGAAAATTTTTACGTTTTTGTAATTGCACACCTTCTGGCACATGGTATTGGGTGTGGGGTTGCACTTGTGTAATTAAACCGAATGAAATATCCAAAAAGAGAGCAGTTTTCTTTAAAAACTAATAACGGATTCGAATTCCTCATCCTCGAATGCCCCTGATTGCAAATATTTTCAGCCCAATCGGCCTCAAAAAAGTGCTAAATCGACGTACGGCCCACCGGCGGGTCGGATCGTCGCGAATGTGTTAATGACTTAAATGAAATTTCATAAGTCAGTCATAAAATGGGAATCAGCCTAAAAAAGAGGGTATTTCAAGTAGATACATTACTTCGCATATTACTTATTAAGTGAGCAATTCACAACACATTTTTCAGGGAATGGGCCAACGATATGTGGGATCAATGGTAGCTGATGTACATAGAACCCTCCTTAATGGAGGCATCTTTCTTTATCCACCCACTGCCGCCGCACCAAATGGAAAGGTGAGATATTCACTTTAGAATGAAGGGTTAATAATTATTGCAAGCCTAGTAGTACCGTAATAATGCTATCTGTTTATAACGACCGGTTTCAGCTTCGCTTGATGTACGAATGCAATCCAATGGCCTTCATTATGGAGCATGCCGGTGGAATTGCTACAACTGGAAAGGTTAGGCTGAGCACAACTAATGATCTAACTGATTTGTATACTTATGAGAGTATGATAGTAAAATCAAAACATTTTAGGAGAGAATCCTCGACATTGTTCCAACAAAAATCCACCAACGAGCCCCAATCATTCTCGGATCGAAACAAGATGTTGAAGAGGTGCTTTTTTCTTTTTTCAATATTACCAATTCTGGATCTAGGTCTTGGAATACATTCAAAAATACGATTTGTAGAAGTCTACAAAAGATCATCTTTTTTAACTTTGATTGTGAGATTTCTCTGTGATTATTGTTTTCTCTACTGGTATATCGAAGTCGCTAGGAAAGTAAATTTTTTTATTCTGCTTTTTGTCCTTAGCCTAGATCAAGCACAAAGCAATCAATCACACCATTACTGGTTTAGTATTTCAAGTGTTGAAACGTGAAACAGTTGAATTTTGTCCTCTTAATATGTGACCATTGAAATATAAAAGGAAACACGACGCAAGAAATAAAAGAAGAACAGAGTTTTCACAAATGCATGCTTTCTCTTCTCATCCCATTCCCATCTTTGTCCCAATGAATTGACTCCCACACGTACTAAAAAAGAAAACAGCTTTTCTCCAAACATTTGAGACATTTTAAAGCTCAACATAGAACAAAACTAAAAAGCAAGCTGTTATTGATTAGATAGCTTTCTTGTTTACATTTGATCTTTAATTATTTGATTGCTTTCTTGCCTGCTTACTTCCTTACACTTACTATTATACTTTCAAGAAACCACTAAAAATGTCGTGGGTGAACAATTTGAAAAACTGGGAGCGATTACACGAGTCACAAGAATACATGAAAAAGGTTTGTTTTACGTCATTTTGTGCTCTAAAACCTTTTTTCTCTGTGTACTGGAACTTGTTTTTGTAGGTTTATGGTGACCCGCAGGCTTACATGAAATTTGAAGATCAAAAGTTTGTGACAGAAAGAGAGTTTTATGGAGAGACCAAGTATGGAGAATGTTTTAATTCTACAGATTCAAGTGCACAGGTAAGATTCAATGTATGTACATCTGTTTCAAAAATTCATCCATTTAGTGCGAGATCATTCAAGGTGAATTCGATCCTCGTCAACTCCCATATGATCAACGAATGAAATGGCATTTTCGAGAATTTTGCTATAAAACATCGGCTCACGGAATACCGATGATTGGCCAAGCACCAAATCCATATTACAGGTGGGTTAAAGAGATACAACACAGAAAACAGTATTGCAATTAACTTTCAGAGCAGTCTGGGTTTGCCTATTCTCAGCATGTATGGTCATGTTATTCATCAATGCACGCTCGGTTATGGAGAAATATGAGAGAAATGAGAAAATCGTTGACATCGCTCTCAAATTTGGTATCTAGTGATTTTAAAGAGAATTGTTATAAAAGAAAAAATTTAGACACAGCACCATTTCCGGCAATCACAATTTGCAATTTAAACCCCTACAAAGCCCATTTAGCAAGCAATGTGGAACTTGTGAGAAGAATGGTCTGTTGTTTTGGTTAAAAATGTTGACATTGCAAAATCACAGCAGGCTATAAGTTAACTTAACATTTAGTTGAATGCCTATAACGGAGCAATGAGTTCTGCGGCGAACAAAGATCAAGAGGCGAAAGAGCAACAACAAGATGAGGAGAGTGAGCGATCAAAAAGGGCAGCAATTACCGTAAGTATTTGTAAAGGAAGAAAGTGACACGAGTAAATTCCCATTCAGCATGAAGACTTAAAGAAAAAATGGAAAACCTTGGACAAATATCGAATGCAAAGAGCTAATTTGCATCTCTTCGAAGTGGTTGGTAAAGATTATGAAAGTTACCGATTAAATTTAATCTCTAAATTTATAGGGTCTTTCAAGATGTAATTGTGATGAATCAGAAGAAGAAGATGAGAAAAATAAAGATAATGCTGATGAATATGAAGATGAAGATGCATTGGGAATCACTCTGCCACCGGGAAAAAAGATCAATGAATGCAAAGAGTAAGAAACTTGATTGCTTACTTAGCTAGGTAAAAATTTTAGGAGAAAATATGAAGAGCCAGAGGGTGATGATGATCGGTGCTTATGTGCATTTGATCGAAACACTGAGGTGCGTTTAGGCTTCAAGTTTGAAAAACTAAAAGATCACTGCAAAGAAGCTCTACTTTCGCTATAGTAGAGTTTTTGCGGCAGCTTTAAAATTCTATATGTAATTCGTTATCTCGAGTTTTTAAGGAATATAACATTTTCAGGATGCTTGGCCTTGTTTCAAGATTCCAGACTGGACCGATGAACAGTGTGCCAGTTGTACGGCCGATGCCATTTGTCAGAAAAACTCAAGTATGTATAACATCAAATAAAATGAAACAAATTTTATGCGCACAACATTATTTCGTAATTGTAACTCTAAACCAACACGAGTACTAAAAGAACTTTTTAGCAACAAAAGTGCGAAAGCGTCTGCCCTGCAAGTGCAATCCACTTGGACAATGTGTGGCTTATGATAAAGTTGGCCATTTGTTTTTGGTTTTCGTTAAGCTCTGTTTTTATAATCAAAAATGATTTTCACAAGCTTTGTATCTCAACGTATTAGGCTGCCCAGAAAGTATTTTCGTTCCTTTTCATATTTCCGTTTAAAACTAACAAATGCACCAATTAACCTATAGTATGCTCTAAATAAAAAGTGTTTATTGTTCAATTTCCCAACTTTTTCAGTCAATTTGGGTTCACTTTCAAGCAAATTCGAGAGTGAAAACGTGTTTGTCTTGAAAATCTATAAAAACCTCTACGAAGAAATTGGCTGAATCAATTTCTCTCAAACTTTGGCGATATACCTAACCTTTTGTGCTCTATCTTTTATCTATTGACATAAAGATAGTTTCCTTAAGTGTCTAAACCGTATCATTGAACTGTTGCCCTTTTTGACTACCCGATTTCACGCTCCCAAAAAATTCAGACATGAAATTTTAAACCCGTTTTAATGTTATTTTGCAGAAAAATAATTGACCCTTCTAATGAAACAAAGTGTAGTTCAATTGGTGCATTTGTTGGTTTTAAACGGAAGTACGAAAAGGAACGAAAAGACTTTCTGGATAGCCTAATTTAAGTTATTATTAGACAGCGACTTTATTGCATATCTGGCAATACTTGGCTGGCGCACCACCAACTGAAGATCCGAATTTCATTAAAGCCATGGGATTTGAGGTAGAAAATTTTGAAGACATCAAAACAAAATATTTTTATAGTTTTAGTAATATTAGCAAATCTTACATCAAAAGTTATAAAATCGGACTTTCAGGGAATGAAAGATGAAGTGGCTATTGTTACAAAAGCCAAAGAGAACATTATTTTCGTGATGGCAGCTCTTCCAATGGATGAAAGAGAAAAACTATCGACATCGAAAAAGGAACTCATTCAAAAATGCTCATTCAATGGAGAAGCATGTAGTGTTGAGGAGTGAGTTTTTAAAAATACAATATTTATGGTAATTAGATCTATAAGGAAATAATGATTCAGAGATTTTTTGACGGTTGTTGATCCCAATTTTGGTAATTGTTTCACGTACAATTACGAGAGAAATGATTCGAAAACATCTATTCGAGCTGGCCCAATGTATGGCCTTCGTATGTTAGTCTACATCAATGCTTCTGATTATTTACCCACCACAGAAGCTACAGGTAATTTAAAAAATTAAGCTTGTAAGCTTTTTGCACAATATTTAATTTTCATTGAACATTTCAGGAGTTCGGATAACAATCCATGAGAAAGAAGATTTTCCTTTTCCTGATACATTTGGTTACTCAGCTCCCACGGGTTATATTTCATCTTTCGGTCTGAGAATGGTACAATTTAAGACTTTTTTATTATGTAATTGTCTCGTGATAATCAATGACAAAATAATCATAATTTAGCGTAAAATGTCTCGTCTACCCGCTCCCTATGGCGATTGTACTCCAGATGGGAAAACTTCTGCATACATTTATCAAGAATATCAATATTCTGTTGAAGTGAGTAAAAAGAAGGGATTAAAACTCAACTTTTAGGGCTGTTATCGAACATGTTTCCAAAATCTTGTTCTCGATGAATGTGGCTGTGGTGATCCACGATTTCCTGTTCCAAATGGAACCCATTGCGAAGCATTGAATCCTGTTCAAAGTAGGGATAGTGAATTTATTTTAAACCGGCCGAAAAATCTAGCTGGATTTTTTAGGGCTGGCCCATAGTTTTTGTCGTCATGGCGCAGTCGGGAGCGCGTTTTTCTACGGCCATACGACCCGGGTTTGAGCCCCCGTAGTGTTACTCAATTTTGACTTTTTTAATTTTTGGTTTAAATGGCACAACTATATTGTCTTTTAAGACTTTTTAAAAAATTTCAGTTTTTCGGTCTAAAGACGGCTGAGAAAAACCCCGTACAGATGGACAGACACTGCTCTTTTGAACAGAGTCTTCAAAAAAAGCTAGTTTCCCTTGGCTCCTAGTGGTCGTTGTAGTGCCAAAGTGAATATTTTGTGCTGGAAAATTTTTGATATTTTTTCACTTTTCCCGATTTTATTACTCCCTATGCATGAAATTTCTGAGCCACCATGGTCACCACCACCATATGAACCACCACCATGAGGCTTTTGCCATAAAATTAAAACTTTCTACTGACATCGTGATGCACAATAAACACTATTAAGATGACTACAAATTTTAACCATATACTTTATTGATTGGCGTTTTCTTAGAAAAACAGGACACTTCTTTAAAAAAGGCGAGTTGAAAATCTCTTATGTAAGACAGATTATCATGTAATGTAGCTGAATAAAGTGTTTGGCTAAAAATCTTAGTTTATATATTAACTATAATATGACACCACGATGCCATCCAAAGTTTTAATTTTATGGCAAAAATCTGATGGTGGTGGTGGCGCAGCAATTTCTTGCATAGACAGGGTCGTTATATGGTAAAAATCATGAAAAAACATCCAAATTTCACGACCCTAAAAAAATCATTTTCGCATCATACCTACCATCTTGAGCCAACAGAAATATTTTTAAAATTTAACCCAAAGTGGATTTTTCTTTGGAACACCCTGTAGTTTCTTGAGTTTTTTGCTGCCCCTGCGGACCGAAATCCTTGGGATGAATCCAAAAATTCACAGCGGCTCCCTTCAGCACCCTTTTGCAGGCACTTGGGATCCCATTTCGACCGGCGGAGAACCCACCATTGTGGCCAAAATGAGCTGGAACTGGGTTAGCCAATTCTACAGCCGAAGTTAGTTTGGGAAGCGGTGACCATATGGGGCAGACAACGGATTGGTTACCGGATGACCCAAAATGGACGCTTCCGATTGGACGAGTGAAAAAAAGACGATATCTGTTAATCCAGTATGCCAGATCGAGTGCGATTGCGCCGGCGGACAGGGAACACACAGCCATCTCTTTTTTGCATTTTAAACTTCAAAAACTTCAAATTTTTGAACAGAGAAATTGCACCCGGGGTTTTCGGGGTTGGGGAATCGATTGACAGTGTTATAAGAAAAACATTATAACTAAAATTTCATGCATAGAGAGTCATGAAATCAGGAAAAAGTGAGAAAATATCGAAAATTTATCAAAAAAAGCTTTTTAAAAACAAAATATGAGTTGCACACTACATAGAATTCCAAGCCTAAGAAACTGAAAATCATGTAAATCGGCCTACGGAGAGCCGAGAACTCGCGCGTACAGACGTAGAGACGGACAGACCCTTCCCTTTTATATAAAGTAGATTATAAATGTTGTTGACAATCGATGAATAGTAATGCATACTATTTTTGCTTTTTAGGAGAATGTCTTGATCGAAAAGTGGGAGCCCTGCAAGAATTGCACGGATCGTTCAAATGCCGATGTCAACAACCATGCGCTCAAAGCATTTACACGGTAAAAATTCGTAACAAATTTAATTAGTAATCATTTAAGTGATATGAAAATAAAATAATGATTTAGGTAACATATTCTCCTGCAAAATGGCCTTCACAATCATTGTCCCTTCAATTGGGGTCATGCAATGGAACGGCTTTAGAATGCAATAAACATTACAAGTAGAATTTGTGTAATTTTAATCTTGCAATTATTGCTTTTGCTTTTTTTGCGATAAGCAGAAAGCATTTAGAGAGAACGCAGCTATGATTGAAGTTTTCTATGAACAACTCAACTATGAAATGCTCACAGAATCTGAGGCTTACGGGGTTAGTTATTTATTATTTCTCTAACTTTTGAATGTATCATAGTTAAAGGGTCTTTTGAATTGAGATCTCCCATTTTCAGTTAGTAAACTTGTTGGCCGATTTTGGAGGACAATTGGGTTTATGGTGTGGGATTTCATTTCTGACATGTTGTGAATTCGTTTTTCTGTTTATTGAGACAACTTACATGTCACTCGAACATCGATATCTTGTATGGAAAAGAAAAAAGGAAGAACAAGAAAAACAAAGACAATTGTTCTATTAATAAAAAAAGCTTTCTATTTGCTTTGACAATTTAGATCCTGATATCATATAAAGTTCAATCATCTGTTACAGAGATATTTATTATGTAAAAATTTGAGTACATGTGTCTTATTGAATACCCAACATTTTAGAGGTTAAAATGTCTTATGTCTGGATTTTTTTTGGGAGCCTGAAGTCGGGTAGTCAAAAAGGGCGACGGCTCGATGATGCGGTTTAGACACTTTCGCTAAGGAAACCTATCTTGATGTCAATAAATAAAAGCACAAAAAGTCAGGTATTTCAGAGAAATTGACTCAACCAATTTCTTCGCAGTGGTTTTTATAGATTTTTACGAAAAACACGTTTTCACTCTCGAATTTGCTTGAAAGTGAACCCAAATTATATATACAGGGTGGCTGATAATTACGTGCGCCAAAGAAAACGCCATAATTTAATTTTCTTTCAAAGAAAATGTAAAAATCTTTATTTATATAATAGTTGTAACAAAAGCATTTAATAATCACAAGAAATTTTCGAAGTGGCCTCCATCCGCTTTGATACAGGCTTCAATTCGCTTCTTTACAGAATCGACGGTGCGGCGGAGATAATTTGCATCTAAGTCGTTCTAGATTTTGATCAATTCTCGACGTAAATCATTCAAATTGGTGATTTTTCTATTTCTCAATTGTTCTTCCATAAAACCCCAAACCGAAAAGTCCAACGGATTGAGATCCGGGCTGTTTGCAGGCCATTGATCCTTCGTCAAAAAGAGCCAATTTTGGTTTCGAGAAAGCGAATTGTTTTTTGCTCCGTGGGCCGGCGCCCAATCTTGTTGAAGGGTCAAATTGGGATGGCCCTCTTCCATGGCACGAACTTTCTCGAGAATCTCTTTTGTAGACTTTTGCGTTAATCTTCACATTTTTATCGATAAAAACCAACGGGGTCTTGCCCGAAGCACTGATGCCACCCCAAACCATCAAACTTTTTGAAACAGACCTTTGTAGCGCTTTTCGTTTACGAGTGCTCTTGAGAGCTGGACTGAGAAGTTGAAGGTGATTTTGTGAGTTTTTGCCACTTCCAAGGTGAAAATCTTCTCATCTGACCAAAGAACATCGTCAATGCGCCCACCTTGAAAAGCTCGCAATTTCTTGCATTTCTCCTTCCGGTTTTGCTTGGCTTGATCGGTGAGCACTTGCCCGTTTAACAGTCGATAACTTCGAAGTCCGAGCTCATTTTTCACTATCGATTGAACCGAGAAACGCGAAATTTGAAGCTGTTTTGCCATCTTGTTCAAACTACGATCGTCTTTTCGCTCGATCCTCCTCTTGATGATCCCACGCATCTTTCGGGTGTTAACGGTCCTCTTTGGTCCTCTTCCGGGCTTGGGCTGAACATGCCCCTCATCTTTCCATTGCTTTACGATCTTCTGGACGGTCCTCAGAGCCACCCCAAGCCTCGATGCGATCGACGAGTTCTTCATGCCGCTCGTCGCCAGCTGTGCGATTGCGTCCCGACTAGCGCACGTCTTTGTCATGACCTAGAAAACAACTTTTTTAACAAAAAATTATTAGACCACGATAAAAAGAATATTAAAACACAAAAAGATGAGTAGTAATGCTTTATACATTGTTTAAAACTATGATGCTAATGCTGCGCGCACGTAATTGTCAGCCACCCTGTATATATATATATATGCTTTATTCAGTTGAATAGCGACAAAACAAAATCACAATCATTAGCCGGGACACCACTCAAAACACACCCGAAAGATAAATAGATACCTCAAGAAAGAATCACAGAGCAGTCAAATCAATTGCCGAAATTGCGGCTTTAAATCTAGCCAAGGTGGAAATATCACGAACATCAGGGGGTAAAATGTTCCAGAATTTAATAACTCGATTAAAAAAGAAACTGTGGGGGCTTTTAGAGGAAACGGAAGGTTGGCGTATGAGAAAAGGCCCGCTTCTGGAGGCGCCCCCTAGAGAGCCGAATTCAAAGAGACCAGAAAAAAGAGGGTCGGGATGAATGCCTTTAACAATTTTAAAGCATTCCACTAAATCGATGATAAGGCGGCGTTGGTGTAACATTTCAAGACCAAATTGACTGAAAAAGTTGGGAAATTGAACAATAAACACTTTTTATTTAGAGCAAACTATAGGTTAATTGGTGCATGTTTTGGTTTTAAACGGAAATATGAAAAGGAACGAAAAGAATTTCTGGACAACCTAATAGTAAACGAAAAAAAAGGTAAGGAACTTTTGCAAATCATTCATAACATATCACCAAAAAATGATGACTAGAAAGCAAGTTTTAATTATAATAGAAAGATTTCGAAAGTTCAAGATCAAAATGCACACACTTTGGAAATTGATCTTGTATCCTAATATCCTCTTACCTTACTGTACAAAACAGAACCTCAGACACAATTATTTAATTTCTTCGATTCTCCATCCCATTATCCGCTAAAATTTGCCTTGTCAAATTGTTGATGATTCGGAAGCGATCCGGCCCGAGATGAATACCACCATACCACCTGAAATTTCCGGTCGGTAATAAACGAGAAAAGCTTTGAAACTAGTATTTTTCTGTTAATTGCTCCAGTTCTGAAATAGAGTATTTTCTATAGCCGTTTATTCGCACACTCGCAGATTCCTCACCTTGTTACAACAACCATTACATTTTGTGCTCCCATCTTCTCAATAATTTCCAACATTTTGGATGATGCTTGATGCTCACCGTCATCCTCGCAATCTTTGCATCTGTATCCAAATGTAAATGTATCAAATAAAATAAATGTATCTAATAAATGTATCAAAAATAAAATAAATAAATGTAAATAATGTATAGATAATCGTTTGAAAATCATTTATAACTTCAGGCTTTGTTGTAAAATACAAACTCACACAATTGTTCGTCCATTTTTAATCTCTTCACATCTCCAAGCCAAAATATTGTGGGTGGCACGTGCGACTTTGTTGTTCTCTTTCAATTTTGCCATCACTAAGTCCACCTAGAATGTTATAGAAAAAATTTTAAGTCGTCGTTTTCCTTTTTTACCTCATTCTTTGATCTAACCCTTGCCACGTGTGCTTGAAAAACACTCTTACGGTCACTGAAGGTCTCCCCCGAGAAGATCTGTGGAACTTCTTGAGTAAAGTGATTCTAAATAGAGAAATCCTTTCATTAATAGTTTGGAAGGGGGGGGGGGCATTAATCGGGACCGAATTTTGAAGAAAACGTTTTTTTGGTAACACTATGTTTTTCTATTTTTATATTGACAGTTATTATGAAAAATGGGCGAAAAAACCCGGCTGGGGTGCTTACAACTTGCTAATTACAACAAAAAATACAAAAAAATGGTTTTTAAAAAATAACCATTTACCAGAAAAACTAACGGATCAATAATTTAGGAGCAGTTTCTTGATATTTTTTCTTTATCAAGAGAGGAAATCTTGCATTCGTAAATGTCAGTAGCCTCCAAAGGGCGAGAAATGATGCTGAAATGACACGAATATTTCCTCCAGAGTTTTGAAACTAATATTTTGTTATGAGACTTACCTTCACTGTTAAGTGCAGACATTGAGTGGCTCTAAAATACCAAGTTACAATCAAAGCACCCCAGCCGGGTTTTTTCGCCCATTTTACATAATAACTGTCAATATAAAAATAGAAAAACATAGTGTTATCAAGAAAACGTTTTTTCAAAATTCCGCCCCGATTAATGCCCCCCTTTAAATTAAAAACAATTGAAGTTGCATACCTGCGCTGATTTAAGCGAGCTGGTGCTTTCTTCGTCTGCCTGTGAAAAATCTTGACGGGGGAATGACGTTGAAGGATTTTCAGCCATTTTCGAAATTTGATCTAAATTTGTTATTTAGTTTGTTAAATTTCAATCATGCGCCCAGCTGTAAAAGTGATGTTATTAGTTTACCTAACTATGAAAGTAATTTAGTGAAAAAGCGTACCCGAAAACCCTTTTTTGTTCTGTTGAAAAGCAATTTTTTGTTTCTAATTTTAAAAACTTCGTCAATAATTGTGTCATTTTTGTTATTTACCTTGTATCCTAGTTATCCATATGTAGAGAATTGGTTGCCCTAGATTTTCCACGTAAGCTTCATTCAACTCATTCAGTAGCTCTTCTTTTTCTCGACGACTCCATGATGGCGCTGAGATAGTTATTTGTGGCGGAGAACTAAAAAAACTCTCATATTGAACCATTATTTAAAGTTGACAAACCGACGCTACTTGATGTATAAAACAACTTTTACCCTGCTGGATAATCCGATGGTAACTCGATTTCGGCGAAGAAATTGCTTATCTCGAAGTGAATCCTAAAAACCAATTTTCAGAATTCAGTCAGCAAATCGTTTGAAAACAAGATTCTCATATTTTTTATAGTTTCCTATTTAAACTAACCGATTGTTTGATGGAAATTTGAGCAGATCTGCAAAAATGCTTTCAATCACTTGCAATTCCTCAACTTGCTGATTTGGAAGATCTCCGTCTGGCATTCTAAAACCCTCTTTAATTAGAAGAATTAATGGATCCAAAAATAGATTAAAGGATCAAAGACAAATGAAACCGTGAACATCTTGAATAGTATCGTAAAATATATATATGCTTTATTCAGGAGGCGAATAGAAACACTTAACATATTGCCACAATATTTTCACAAAAAGAAAGAAAACTCAAAATAGCACAGTAAAACTATAATTAGGAAACACAGGTACAAAAAGATTTAAATATAGGCAGATTTGACATGGCAATAAGTTCTAATTCGCTTACAGATACTTTGAATTTTCCTACAGACGAGAAGATACCAGACGGGAGCTTATTCCAAACCCTACTAATACGATTCGCAAAAGAATGATAAAGGGAAAGATGATAGAGATGAGAACCGACCGAAATTTGATAAGGATGACTCCGTGAACTTCTATAAATTTCTACAATTTTCAAGAGGCTTTGAAATTCAGGATGCGACTTAGGGTGGAAAAGAATTTTATAGCAAAAAATAAGATCAAAGTAAATACGGCTATATAAAAGGGGTTTTAAATCAAAAACTATAAGTATAGTCCCATAATTTAGAATAAGAGAAGATGGGAAACAACGAGTGTATGCTTTTTTAGTGAAACGCCGTTGGATATTTTCAACCAGGGTAATAAGTTTCTTAATGGAAGGTGACCATACGATGGTGGCATACTCGAGCAAAGGCCGGCAATAGGTTATAAAAGCCCTGCGATAAGTCGCGATTTTAGGGAAACAAATGGCGCGAAGTATTATGTTAGAAATTCTAGAAGCTTTTTTTGAAATGTAATTTACGTGAGGATTAAATTTTAAAGAGGGAACTAACAGTATACCAAGGTCTTTTACAGGATCATCGGCCAATCCCTGTGGTAATTGTAGTGTAGATTTAAAGGGATATGTAATGCACCAAATGTAACGTGTCTACATTTGTCCGATACAATGTTAAGTTTCAATTTACTCCACAGAAGGATCGAATCAAGATAAAATCAGGGATGGGGCTCTGGGAAAAAAGCAGCCTATAAATTTTATGATCATCGGCGTAGAGTCAGACTTTTGTGTCTATCAAGTATTGGTGATATTTGAAACTTAGTTTTCCGTATAACAAATGAGGGAATTCTGTCTGGGGTGTAAGAAAGCTTATTGCTAAGCTTACTAATTGCTGTTTCGACAAGTCTTGGTGTGACGATTAGGGCCGCGCAAGTATGTGCTGGGGCGGGAAGAGCAGGGATGCAACTACCATCGTCAACTACAAAAACGCTGAAGTAATATTGAGCAAAGGAATTAACAATTTTGTGATTTTCGAAAATCAACTCGTCGCGAAGGGGGTCAAATATACATTTAATAGAGGAATCGTGGTTTGGGTTAATCTTAGAATAGACGTATGAGTAAAAAGCCTTAGGACTAGGACTAAAAACGGATTTCCATTCAATATTGGCTTCAAATTTCTTGACAAACTTAGTTAGCTTGTTTTCTAGATATGCGTAATGGGGGAATCGCGATAACGCCAAGCTGTTTCTAACCTTTGCCTAGCTCGAGATATGTGACTGGGATAAGAAAAGGTAAACCTGGTTGAAATAGGTACATTTTCGTCCAACAGCGATTTCATCTCTTCAAAGTAGTCAGCATAACACTCGTTGATGTCCATCTCTAATCGGGGAAGAAACCTTGCATTGTAGAGCGTTAAAGAAAGATAAACAGCACCGAAATTACCTCTCCAAAAGGCACGATTACCTTTCGGTCCTTTTAGAGAGGTAAAATGATGCAGAATTAAATTAAAAGACATAGAAAAGTGGTCGGCACCACCAATGAGAGGACATAGTGAAATAGCTGAAATTAAATGAGGGGAGTCGGTTAAAACTAGTTCTAAAATATGCGAACTTTTCCTGAAAGTAGCGAATTTTTAAAAATTTCTAAAAACCGATAGAAAATTTTCTAAATGTGGAAAACGCGACAAATTAGGTAAAAGTCCTGGAAAAACAATTAAAGGAAAATCAAAATCGCCAAGAAGGAAATTTGGATGATTTGGTAGCAAGCAATCTTCAAGAAATGTAAATAGATGAAAAGAACCCTCGCTATTAACATGTATTAACAAAATGAACAAACATCTGCCTTGTTTTTAAAGCAGATACCGAAAGTACTACATGCTTTAGCCGTTATAATTGTCTTCAATCAAGTAATTTCCTATCTTCTTATGAGAATGGATCGAATCCAAATGGGTCACTACAGTAATCGAAGAAATAATAAAAATCAATGGGGGTTTGTTGAGTAATTTTAAAGGTCGAATCAAGGTATGCTGAACTGAATATGAATATGAATATAAGCCAAAACTCCCAGAAATAAAGCTACTAATTTCATAGTTTGTACTTTTCTCTATTTTCTATGGTGTCTCATTGTTCACAGTGCTCTTTTAGCCAAAATGAGTCGCATGATAGCAATGCACTCTATTATTTTCTTATTGAAGATTTTGTTATAACCGTTTAGTATCAGCTTGTGAAAAATAATTGAACTTGAAGTTCGAGCTGAAACAAAAAAAACTCGGGTTAATGGCGTAAAGAAAGTCAAAACTTGGAACTTTGTCTTTTGGTCGTACACGATACAATTTGTCCTAGCTAAAAATTTGGGGTAGGCTAATTTCCGCCATTTTATTTGCGCAACTTTAACACTGTAAGCACTCGATTTTTTTAATCATTATTTTCTTTTTTCAGCTTTTTATTATTGTTTTTCTTAAAAACCATTTTTAACCTTTTTTTACAGAGATTCGACAATTATCTTCTGGTTATCAAGTGAACCAGACCAGGCTAAAATGCGAGTTCTTTTATACATCAGTAAACTTAAGTGCTTTTAAATGTTTAAACGCGGTTAAATGTTTTAAATTGCTTTTAAACGCAATTAGTTTTTTTTATTCTAGGGCTCTTTCATCAACACCTCAATCCAACAGAGGCAAAGAGGTTTTATATGATACGACCGAATTTGAATATTGCTTTTATCGGGAAAATTAAAAGGGAAGACTTTATTACAGGTATTCCTTTGTTTCTTTTCAATTGCAATTTGTCTAGTTAGGTGTCTTTCAAAAAACTGCAACGTCAAGGCTCGCTCGAGGGCCAAGGGCAAGCATGTAAAGTGCCTTGGAGAACATGAGCATATTTACCTCCTGATTTTGGAAAAGAGGTTAACGCTAACGTTTGAGGTTTATTATTGTTTTTGTTTTTAGTTACATATAATCAGAAAAGGATTTAAAAATGCTAGCGCACAGGGTGTTCCAACTCGTCACATCATCCAAAAGTATTCATGACTGGTATATATCTATTGTGTCCGATTTAGATTCAATCTAAATCTTATATAGATTGAACAATAATATAAACATGCTTAATATATGTTCTTAAGCGTTTTCTGCATTTTTCAAAGGTCTGTTACTGTCTTTTTCTGAAAAGAAAACCCAACTATGAAACAATTTATTAGCGTTAACAGAATAGATGCGAAATTACAACATACAACCACAAAAAACCAACAACAACAACGAACGAGTTAAAAATTTCTATTTATTTTTGCAGCTTAGGCTATTGTGACATCTTGAATTGCAGAGTCGGCCATCCTTTTTGCACGAACATCGATTGGATGAGCATTTTCCAGCACATAAGCAATGTTTATGGCCTAATGGAACACGCAAAAAATGAAATAAAGTTATAGTTACTTACCTTGTTTCCCGTGAATAGAAGAATCACCGATGGCGGCACGAAAGGAAGTTGAACGTTGTTTAATCACGAGCGCAAATCTTTTCAGCAAGTTGTTTTCGTGGTAGTTTTGTAGTAGTTTTGGTTTCTCGCAGTTTTCACAATGATTATGGAGCGTTTCAACCATCAAATTGTAGGCTTCAGCGGTTGGAATTTGTTCTCTCTTCTTCTTTTGTAAAAACACGCCAAATTCTTGGTCAAAAAGGTCCTCCATCTGTAAAAAAGTAGCATTTAATAGGAAAACAAGAAAACAAAAAAATTCTCAAAAAAGGCAAAATTTCTTTGAAAGCGCAGAAAATTGCAAAAAAACGCTTAAGAACATATATTAAACACGTTTATTATTGTTCGATCTGTATCGGACGTCCGATATAGACTGTAATCAATAAAAGACCTTTGAAAAATGCAGAAAACTACAGAAAACGCTCAAGAACATATATTAAGCACGTTTATATTATTGTTCAATCTATATGTCGTAGCCGATTAAGTCTCAAATTTTTTCGCTAGCGAAACCTTCTTCGGCTAGCCGATTAAGTCTCAGACTTCTTCGGCTAGCCGAAGAAGTCTCAAAAATGAAATCTTGAGTTATGTATTGACTCAAGTCGATACCACAAACTCAAGCTCTCTAAAAGGCGCTTAAAAGCTAAAAACGCATTCTAAAGGGTGCGCATTTTATCATACTGTAACCAAAGGCTATGAAAGGGCCCTTTTCGCCATTTTCTATCTGATTCGTCATTTATTTGAAATAGAATTGTTTGTTTTTGTAAGTCAATTTGACTCCTTTGTTGGATCATCGATAAAACTTATTTACCACTAATCTGTTTATAATCGAACATAACCCCTTATTTCAATCCTATTTTTTCTTTTTGTTACTGTGCATTTTTTGTTTAAGCTACACTAATTTCTGTTGATCGTTAACCGGCCAAAGAGCTCCTCGTTCTTGACGACTTTCTTGGGTTTGTCCAAATTGCCTTTGATCCCATGATTGTAAAGCACCTGTTGATTCAATTCGTATCGAAGAGAGAATAGCACTACAAGTTTTTAGTTTTTAGCGCCTTTTAGAGAGCTTTTAGAGAGCGTTTTTAGCTTTTAAGCGCCTTTTTGAGAGCTTGAGTTTGCGGTATTGACTTGAGTCAATACATAACTCAAGATTTCATTTTTGAGACTTAATCGACTAGCCGAAGAAGTTTGAGACTTAATCGGCTAGCCGAAGAGGTTTCCGGAAAATTTTGAGCTAACCGGCTAGCCGAAGAGGCCGAGCTCTTCGGCTGAAATCCTTAATCGGCTCGCATATAAGAATGATGTTAAAACCGACGAAAATCTAAATAGGACATAACATATATATGGTTTTCGAATAACATTTTTCGCTTTAGGCTTCGAATGGGTATGTATACAGGATTTCGTCTTGCTTACGGCCCTGTTGAACATCGTTTTTACCGTTTTCATTTTTTCAGAATATTCTCCGACGTATAAAAGTAGTTGGCTTTTTGCTTATCCAAATGAGTGTATAATATCGCTATTTTAAAGAACTGAAACAGTCTGCAAATGTAAATGCAAATTAACAAATTCTTCCAAAAATCAAAATTTGGTTTTTTAAACTAGACTAAAAAATGTTTGCATAGTTTAATCAGGTAATTCATCTCTTCCCGTGACAAAAAGTTTTCTTTGCGACTATTGATCTTTTACAATCATTTCTGCAAATTGCGCAAAATGCTCTCATTGCCGCTTTTCATCAAAAGATTTGTTCTCTAAAAATCATGTTCATCAATCATTTGAGGTCTTCTTTCAAATAAAACGTGGTCGGACTCTTACTGAATCTTCAAAAAGAACTGATCAAAAAGAAGGAGAAGAGGAAAAGTCATTGGGTGACGTTGAAAGATCACTGGAGACCTTCCAAAGACACATCCCAATATAGCCATATCCATTTGATGAACTCTTTTTATGAGAATGGATCGAATCCAAAATGGATCACTACAGTAATCGAAGATATAATAAAAATCACGAGTGCAATGGGGTTTTGTTGAGTAATTTGAACAGTCGGATCAAGGTATGTTGAACTGAATATTAACATTTACTTATCTTTAGAAAAGTACTGAATTTTCTCAAAAATAGTTAATAAATTTCTCAATATAGCAAATAGTAAGGAGAAGTTTTTTATAAAACTGTGTTTTGAATACTTTGTATTTTTGGTTGACAAATTGATTTGAATGGTTTATTAACTACCTTATGTACAAACCGGAATTTTTATCTTTTTCTAATAACAACACAAAGTGAAGTGGAGTTGAAAGTGCTATTCACGCATTAGGAAAGTTCAAATGAAACGGTGAATTTGTACAGAAATATTATGGAGCCAGAAAACGCAAAAATTGGAGTGAATTTTGGAAATGGATTCTTATGAAAACCTCGAAAGAAGAACCTTTAAAAAAGACAGTTGCCGTAAAGAAGGAAAACCGGGATTCATGATATTTGACTAGGCTTACAAAAACTTTGGGCACTACCACCGATTTCAACTTACACGTAGACAAAACAATAAGAAAAACAATAAAGAAAAAACGTGAGCAACTTTTCGAAAAAGCTAATCCAAGAAATTAATACTGAAGGCATTCACAAGAAATGTGACTCTTTTATGAGGTCTTAAAAACAGTTGCTTTATTAAATCGAATAACGTCTCCAGTTGAAAGAACTCAATGTAAATTCATTTTCTTTAAAACATCATCAGGCACATGAGACCTCAACACATTGTTTTCCGCCTCGAGGTGGTGCACCTGAAAATGCAGAATTGTTTACTAATTTCATAATTTTCAGATAGTTAAAGCGTTGACTCTATTTTTCAGCTAGACTGTATTTTTCTCAACGACAGTTTTGCACAGTCACCCCAGGAAAAGCTACCGTACTGAAATTTTCAAAAATTCTAAAATTATTATAGCCGAAGTTCGGATCGACTTTCGTTCGGGTCGTTCGGTCGTTAAGAAGAATTTGAGTTAATTGTCTATTCTTGCAAGAAAATGAAAAAAATCTTAAAAAGTGGTGCCGTACTCTTTTCTCTTCAAATGATCGGTTTGTTTATCAAAAAGCCAGAGTCACAGATCTTTGTCAAATTGCTTCCTTTTTGAAAGTTTTCTGTGAAAATCACGTTCTTTTTTTCCGCTGACATCATTTTATATTGAATGTTATTTAGAATGGGAAATATAAAAAGAAGAACAGAGAAAGAGCTATTTGTGGAATTTGACAAATAAAAATCGATGTTCAGTAAACAAGAAAGGATTTTTGCGCCAAGGAAGTATAATATATTTTGAAGGACCACTGTTTATACCAGTTTTGACTAGTAAAACAAAAAATGTCCTTAATGGAATTTCTAAGCTTCTTACTGTGACTATCACATTCATTTTAAAGTTCCACAAGTTAGACTGGTTCACTTAAAACTAAAAACTCTACCCATAAGCCAAGAATTTCAAAAATGAAAGAAAATGGCAGATGTTGTTCAAGTTTCAAATGAATCCTTATTAAGGCTAGAAAATTAATTGTCAAATTGTTTAGTGAAAAAAGGTGATTAGTGGGTTTCCCGTGACATTTAGCTCTAGATTTTCAGAATTATAAATTTCCATTCGACTTACATGCCCTTCCAAATCCACTATCCTTGCTCTCAACACTTCAACTTCTTCTCGAACAGCGAACATCAAATGAGTCTTCACCAGATCCTAAAAGAAACAAGGTTGATAGTCAATTATGTTCAGTCTTATTAGCTTAAGATCTTAGGAATTTATTCCAGACTATCTTGATTGAGCATACATTTTTAAATGCTATCCTTAAACCACTCAATCACTCACAATCAGCTGTCAGCTGATTTTTCAAGCTTTTGGCGATCTCCATCTTTCCCTTATCACAACAATAGGTCAACAATTGAGTTCACAGGAAAAAAACAAAATATTTCTTCTTTTTGATCTGTGAATGAAAAATCAGACATGGAGTAGGCGCTTAATTAACACTTGACTAAAATTAAAGCTAGTTACCAAGTGTAAGGAAGAGAGTATGGTAAGCGCATGAAGTTAACCTCTCCAGTGTTTACGCATTTTTTTTATCAAATGCCTGCGTCGGGCACCAGAATGCTTAGTTCAACCCACCATAGCTTGTTCGATTTTGGAATCAATTGCTACCATCGGTGGTGTGGAGGCGGTCGCATTCGCTGACGATGTACTGAAACTGTGACCATGAATACCACCATTGTGCTTAGAGAATGAATAGCTCGTGTATCCATGATAGGAATAATGATTTTGTGGCGAAGAGCTCCCTCTAGCTAATCCATGAGACTCCCCACATGAATTTTGTCTCCCAGTGTGAAGACCTCCATATTGAACTTGGCTTGTCGATGGATGGATCAACATTTTATGGAATTTGCAGAAAACTTGGCTTAGAATGAGAAGCAAATGAGTTCGATTTGATTTGCGGTCACGGGCCTCCCCCAGGAAAGTCTTTAGAGAAGGTGAATGGCTCACACGGTGTCTTTAAAAGGAACCACTCGCCGCCTCCTTTTCTTTCCCCTTCTTCCCCTTCTTCTCTCTGATCACACTTTTCTATCATTTGATTCACCCCCGTATCATTCTCTCCCTTTCCACGTTTTCTCATATCACTTTTTTATGTCTAACTGTTTCTATCATAGTTTTACGAGCCGAATGGCTGTCTCATTGCTTTACTTTCTCACATCTCAATTTCATTGCTCTCAAGTGCACTCTAGGTTCTATAACATTGAACCAACTCATTTTCTTGAAATCATGTGGTGCTTGGGAAATTGTGAAAAATCGTAAATTGGCAAAATCGGGAAAGATTAGGGGTTCTCAAAGGGTAACTAGCAAAATGAAATTAGGTAGCTAGGATTGAGTAGTTTCTGTTATTGAGTCTTTTTACTAATTTCCGCTCTTACAATAAACTAAAAAGGTTTTTTAACAGATCTCAAGAGTTGAACTCAAGAGTACACTAAATTTCTTGATCTGAATGTCAAAGGTATTTCCCATGATCCTCGAAAAACCCACGTGAGCGTCACATATATTTTTGTATCCTTTTCTTTTTTGTTGGCGCCATTCGGCTATCACCCAGGCTATCACTGATTTGATCGCAGAGGGGAAACCCGTGTTCTGCCCTTTTCTCTCCAAATTTCTATCTTTTCGTTTCTAATAAAACGTTCATCAAACTGTCACACACCTTGGTCAAATTTAGCCGTTTTCGAGTCAAGATGAAAATCTCGTTCCTTTTTCTTTGGCGAAAAAATATTTTACGAGAAGTGACAAGGCGCCAGTCTTGTCGCCGAAAATTCCTTGAGTAAACTTTGACTAAAAAACGCAGAGCAGAAAAATTGTATTTGATTTGCCACGTTTCTAGATCTCGCTAGGGGTTATTTTTATCAAGGAATTTGAAAAAATGATAAGAGTGAAAAGAAATTTTCGATGAAAACATGGAAAATGTTGAGTTTGGGTTGAACTCTCAACGAAAACCATGATAACCAGGAAGTTTACGTTTGATATGGGTTATGAAATCTGCTTTCAAAATTGACCCGAATTGGGCGGATATATTTTGTATAAGTGGTCTTCGGCACAGTTTAGATTTCAAAATTATTGATAGGTAGAATCTAATCATTTAAAATAAGAACAAAATATCACTAACCGTTTTCTCATTGCAAGATTGGATCGATTGATGTTAGGCTATTGTTTTCAAATCAGAGAAAGTTCAAATTTGTTTAATTTCACGAGAATCATTTATCGAAGATCACATGGCTTATCTCTTTTATTTTCAGATTTAATGATTATAAATTTTTCATTGAGACAAGAGTTCAACTTATTTGGGAGTGTTCCAAAATAGATATGGACTGTCGTGATGAGAACTCTCAAAACAACAAAAAAACAGAAGAATTAAACACTTGCAATTTTTAACACCAATTCAAGTCTAAAATAAAACTTACTCTTCGGCTGGTGTTAGGGCCTCTTCTGGTTGTGGTTCTAGATCGATCCCCCTCATAGGATAAACCAGGTATTAGTTAAAAGATACCAATGTTTGTATGATGAATTAGGTACACTTAGAATCAGAATGTTACGTGTAAAGATTTAGGGTGAATGTAGAGCGGAAAAGAGAGTTGTTGTGGATAGACGAGACCCCCCAATAGTGGGAGAAATGGGGACTCTTTCCATTCCCCCCTCGGGCCTCCCCCATCACTCCGAAAAGAGACGACAGAATTGAAAAAAGAAATTGAAAAGAGACCCAGCGACACATCGATTTTCGTTTATTTTGTTTTTTTTCTTTTTCCGCTCTTGTTATTTTTTTAATTCTTCTCTGGGGTGAAAGAGAATTCTTTGAGGGAATCAATAATCCGTTAAAGGGTACAAATATTTGTTAAGTTCTACTATAAAAAAGTTTCTATTTTGAGCGTAAAATTTTAAAAACGAAGTGGAAAAATGGTGAGTTCTTGCAAGTTTTCTATTATAGATATCAAAACTTGGACGTTTCCCTTGTCCCCCTGATAGCGAGGACATGGGAAGCGAATAGTAAGTGATAACTTACGATGTTTTGACCTCGACGTTTACACAAATCTTGCATTCTCAAAAATTCATCGCCAATTTTTTCACTAACCGTTTTCGATTAATGATCGGGACTCCATCGGGAGTTGGAGTAGAACAATGCGATCGAGATGGTCGACTGTAGAATAAGGATTGGGATGAGATAGATGAGGTCATTGATGAATCCATTAGTGGATGAGATAAAAGAAGTGGTAATCCTGTAGACGTTGTTGATGGATCATCAACATTCTCGAATAGAAAAATCGGTGGTGAAACCATGGCCATTGGGGAGTGATCAATCCGTGAATATATTACTATAAGAAAAGAAGAATTGAATGATAAAAGAATAAAAACTTTTAAAGTCAATAAATAACAGAAAAACTTGAATTTTCAGAGAATCAAAGTTCAAAATCTCAAGGCAAGGAGCACAATTTGACTCGAGTAGAGCTAGGTTTTTCAAAAACAGCTGCCTTACAGGTTCGATTTCAGAACACTAACATCATATGTCAAGCAAAAATCAATGAGCTCTTGGGTCCAAAATCAATATTATGATTTCTATAAATTGGTTTGTTTCTAAAAAATTTGCATGGTGTGTAGCTTGTTAGCTTACTAACAGCTACCAGTTACATTTGAGAGAATTACTTCTTAATCAAGAGCAAGAATACTGAAAAATTCGTAGTTTTTTTCCTTGTTCGAAAGGAAACGTTCAAAGAAGAAAAAGAAATGTTTAAGCAAAAGAAAAGGCTTTAGAGAGGCAACTAACCATTTCCGGGTTTTCCGGGGCTCTCTAGAGGTTGAAAACGACGTCTATCTGTTTAAAATTCTTAGTTCCTCAATCAATCCGCTATCAGAAATCCAAATCCCGTTCTATTGTGTTTTAAAGTTTCAAGACATTACCAGCGTCGCTGGTGGGGAGCGGGTGCATCTAACTCTAGAGAGAGAAAGGCTTGCGTCCCGAGTGGGGACGGAGCTTGCCAATGGCACGGACAGACAGACATTTTATTTTCTTTTTTATAGTTAAATTTTGGCGAAAAGTTTGGTGAATACGGCTCTAAGAGTATCATAGTAAGAGTTTCGTTACAAATGCAGAATGGGGCAGTGCATTAATAAGTTGTATCGTGAATTATTGAAGCGCAAAGTTGAGAAAATCTTAGGTTTTGTTTTAAAAAGTTAAATACTTGTTAGGAGATTAGCCAACTAATAACTCAGAAAATAGATTTGGACTAAATGACGCAAAAGTGGATAACGAAGGGAGAAAAGAGGAAACTGTTGGATTTTGGTTCTCATTTTTTTTACTCTTTAAGCTGAAAAGAAACAGATAAATATAAAAACAAAAGAGATCTGAGGTTAAAGGGAAAAGGAGAAATATTTTGGCCTCCTCTCTTTCAGGAGAGATTCCCAGCTGACAGTTGCCGAAATTCGGCCGAGGAGATCACACAGGGGAAATTCTTTTGGGTCTTTTTTGTTTTTCTAGAAAAATTTCTTCTCTTGATCAGAACCCTCGCCATCTCATACCTTCTTTTCTCCTAAATTTCCCCTCGATGAATCGAGACAAACAGATGGACAGATACCACACTCAAATAGAGATCCTCACAGTTAACCTCCATCCATCACTCGCTCATAGTAAAGGGTTTTTTTTGCGCATCGAGTAAAGGATTAAAGTCGCCAATGTTTCGAAATGTTAGACTCTAACAACTTCTAATATTATTTGATCCTTAGAAGTACAACAAACTTATGGCATAAGCCTCATACATAGTAACAAAAATTAGAATAATTCACCGAATTCATATGCTTTGTGCTGCGAGTAATAGTGAATTAATTAGAACAAAAATATGAAAACGCATGAATCAAAATGAAAATTAAAAAGTCAATAAAAAATAGAGAATTTGAGTGTTTGATTGGACACGAGGCCCTCTCGATAAACACAAAAACACTCAAAGTCACAATTTTTTTTACTTTTTCTCTAACTCCAATTAGTTTCGTTCAAATTATGATAAAAATTATTTTCGTCATTTTGGATTTTGCTAATGGATTTTGATTAAATGTCGAAATAATGTCGAAAGTAAATAAAGCATAAATTATTCAGGTTTGAAAAATCTATGAGCAAACCAGAGCAACTCAAGGGAAAGTTTTGTGCCAAATTGTAAGAAACATAAACGACGCAATGAAAAGAAAAAAGGAAGAAAAGTTCTTTGTCAATGAGTGATGGATCCTTGATGATCAGGAATCACTCATTCAGAAAAAAAACACAGGCGTCGAACAAAAATGAAAAGAAACTGATTGCTTGATCTCAATCAACCAAACAAAAAAGCACAGCGGCTGTTTCTCTTGAAGAAATCTCAAAATTGTTGTTGGATTGACTCATTGTCAATGCTTAGCGAAATTTAGCTTTTAACATAACACTGACTATGATTTAGCATTTACAATTACCGTAAATACTGTAATAGTACCCCACCCCCCTAATGACGGTGCGGAGAGTTGCGTAGTCTAGCTTTGAACGAGTTTTTCTCGACACTGGTTTATGGTACAATGCGCGTTTAAGTATCAAAAAATAGCCCTGAATTTCAGCTATTTTTTGATATCAAAGATGCATTTTTTGAAAGTACGGGCGCTTTGAAAAAAAGAAAGACTACGAGACTGTACGAGGGGGTGGGGTACTATTACAGTGTTTACGGTAGTATTTAAGGGACCAATTCTTAAAATAATAGACTTTTTGAGAGGAAATACTTGAGAAAACTCTCAACATTTTGCAGGTTTTAGGAAAAGAAAGGAAGACTTGGGTGGGGTCATCTCTCCAAATAATTCGAGCCAAAAATTCCCGAAAAGCAGGTGAATAGGCGAAAAAAGAAAATTAATGGCCATAAGAAATGTTTATTAAAAAAGAGAGAATTTCTTTTATTTTGTCAAAAGTTATTTGTTTTGATTGAACTTAAAGAGATGGTGGCAAAATTTTAGAAAAAACTGCGCCATTTCTCAAAAAGAGTCGAAAAAGTAATCGACTGAGGCGATTACGGCCAAAACTCAATTTCCTCGCCAAAAATTTGGAAATTTTGGGGAAACAAAAAGCACAATGAATCCATCATTTCTTTTGATTTTTGCTTCCAATAGATAACAACGCAGATCATTGTAAATTTTGCAAAAGACAAAGCTTTTCTTCAAGCCAAATGAAACCAAAGAACCACGATAGAAAAAGGCAATTTGATGTTTAAAATCATGGTTTAAACTCACTTTTCAGTATGATCTATAATAAGATTCATAAAGTCGTGGACGATTAACGCGTTGAATTAAAATTTTAGATTTTTGACCGTTTGTGAGCAGAAAAAGGACTTGAATCGCTTCATAATCCCATCCATTTTCCTTTCCCAAGCACAAACCAAGCCCAATATGCAATATATTTTTTCCTATGTGAAAAGTGTGTTGGTCAAGCTTTGAAACTTTTAATGCAGACAAGAAGGTTCAAACCTGATTTTGTTATCCTTTTTGTTGTGTGCCAAATCGAGTGTGTTTTCAAGACCGCTTTGTAGAACTTCTGATGGTGTGTACTTTCCATCTTTATCTAAAACTCTGACATTTATTATAGTCTTGTCAGAAAATGTTTTAATTTATAAGACACATGCTGTTATTTGAAATTTAAAACATTCACAAATAACTACATGAATAAACTTACCATAGGCTAGACTCCGAATTAGAATTGCTGAAATGTTTGATGATATGAAGCAATTTGGAAGTATTAGGTCGGCCGATAAGTCCTTGAACACTTTTTCATAAATATGTTTATAAATGAAAAGTTCACCAATTGACCCACGGTTTGCTTCAAATAAAAGACGTTTATTATACACTTTTCTATCTTTTTACGCCAATTTGGGTTGCCAATCTGAGCGCAAAAACTCCTTGTGCTTAAAATTCGATAAAACTTACATAAATGAATTGGCTAAATCAATTTCTCTCAAAAATTGGCTATATACCTAACTTTTTGTGCTCTATCTTTTATCTATTGATACCAAACTCGGTTTCTTTGGGCCAAAGTGTCTAAACCGCGTAAACGAATCGCCGCCCTTTTTGACTGACCGAGTTCGCACCTCCGAACAAAAAACCAGAAACAAAACATTTCTTAAGATTTGAACGATCTTTTATAGAAAAATATCAGGCCTCTCTAATGGAGCAAATTGTAGGTGAATTGGTTATTTCTAAATAGCTTTTCAAATGAAATGTCCAATGACTCATCGGCCTACCTAATATTTCGATGAAAAATATCGAATGTAGGATTCTCATACCTCCTACTTAAGAACAACCAATTATAACATAAACTCGATCACTGAATAGTTTATAGTTAGTCTCTTAGCATTGCTAGCCGTGGTAGTAAAACTTTTTAGGTAAATGAAGTCCAAAGCTCCTTGTTCTTGAACAAGACCTTGGGCTCAGGTCTTAAGAAGTGTTTTTTTTGAATAATGCTAAAGTAATCTGCCCAAACTCAAAATTTTGATGGTCTGAAATAGGTACCTACCTCTTTGTGTGTTGTTGAGTGGAGTGGCGGTGGCTTGTTTCCTCTCAATTGGACGACCATTTGGACGCGAAAAATTCGGCGTCGTCTGAACAAATCAGTTATAATGAATTTGCGAGTTGCGAAATGCAGTTTTTTGTTTAATCTGATTTAAAGTCAAAACCAATTGACACTGCTTTAAGCACAGTGATTTAAGCACCTCTTGTTTTGTGCTATCCTCTTTTTCCAACCTGTGAAAAGCTTTTGCTGTTCTCTTTGTGATCAAACACAAATGCGGTGCTCTTGTCGTGCGGAGCCGTCTTTGGATGATTCAATCCAATCGCTAAAAATATTTTTAATTGGATAGTTGGTTTAATTAGATAGCTTAATTAGATAGGCTGTCCAGAAAGTCTTTCAGTTTCTTTTCGTACTTCCGTTTCAAACCAACAAATGCACCTATTGAACTACGGTTTGTTTCATTAAAAAGTTGAATTATTTTTCTGCAAAATTACACTCAAATTGGTTTAAGATGTCTTATGTCTGGATTTTTTTGGGAGCGTGAAGTCGGGTAGTCAAAAAGGGCAACGGTTCGATGATGTGGTTTAGACACTTTAGCTAAGGAAACTATCTTTGTGTCAATAGATAAAAGATAGAGCGCAAAAAGTTAGGTATATAGCCAATTTTTGAGAGAAATTGATTCAGCCAATTTTTTTGTAGAGGTTTTTATAGATTTTCAAGAAAAACACTCTCGAATTTGGTTGAAAGTGAACCAAAATTGACTTAGAAAGATGGGAAATTGAAAAATAAACAATTTTTATTTAGAGCAAACCATAGGTTAATTCGTGAATTTGTTATTTTTCAACGGAAGTATGAAAAGGATCGAAAAGACTATCTGGACAGCCTAAAATATGCTAAGAAACTTTTCTCATAAATTTCTTAGTCGACGTTTGACAAAACTCTGAATACTCCATTCCAATCACCTGTACTTTCGATGAATCTCATATTTGTGACCGATGCAAAGGGAAATATTTTCACAGATCGTATAGTTGAAAAGAGAAATGAATAATAGTGCTTTTTGGTCTTTGAGAGAAAGATCAACAAAGCAATTTGAGGGAACAACTGTTCCTTTTCTTCCTCAAAAAAGTCACAATATGTGTGTGTACTGCACCTAGATTTGTAGAGATTTTTCCGAGAGTTCTTTAAGTACAACGTGACTCAAACAAAAAGAAAATAAATTTATAACTTACGAAACTACAACAGAATTTTTGAAAGGAGTGTTTCCAGTAAAAATTTTACTTTTAAAATAAATGAAAATGTGCAAAAGATTTTAGTGATTTTAAAAGTTCATTCGAGTAACGAAATTTTAGCCAAAAAGTCAACCCCAAAACGAAAGAAGTGCCTGATATATCTGCAATACCCATGACAATTTCATAACTCGTCTTGATTTTCCCAACCCATTTATCATAATAGGATCATATTTGTTGATATGTCAAGAACTCTTTGAGCCTTTAGAAT